CGTGAAGCGCGAATTTGCGGTGTCCGCGATCTGGAGTGTTAGTTCCCGCATCAGGTGGTGTGTAGTGAGTGCCCGTTGTTCATCAATAATTTTTGATGAAGTTTTGTTCTGGCATCCCTAAAGATAGCCCACCCCAGAGTTTCTCTTTTGAGCCATCCAGTAAGCATCTTTTCGGCGTTCGCTTTAGCCATTTATTCGGTTGAATTTTACCTCAATGCCAGTTTCGATGCAGACATTGAGTGACTGCAGCTCACCAGTGAATCCATACTGGACCGCTAACTTTTTTGAGCACCGTACGCAGATGTTGTCGACACATACTCGCAACCCGCTACATGTCTTCCACACTCCAGGGCATAAGTGACAGTTTTTAACTACTTGCCCATTGCTGTCAGGTTGCGGGGCCCGCATAAACCAGCAAACTGAACAAAACATTTACGAAGCGTAATGGCTATATATGGAAACCCAAGTGTCCGATTCCACAGCAGCTGTTGTCAGATGGGCGGAAGGTGACCGTGGAGGATACGAAAAGCATAAGAAGGACATCTTTCCAAAGCTTTACTCCCGTAACCTTTCGTATCTGCGCTTTAAAACATGGCAAAAGGCGGAAGCAGAGGTGCAAACATGGTAGAGTTAAAGATAGGAGAGTAGAGGGCCTGTATTACACTATTGCAGAGGTATGGAGTGTGTGCCACACTGCGGAAGCGGTCGGCACGCCTCGAAAAGAAGTGTAACTAATGCACAAATAATTTTTAAAAACATTTTTACATATATAGTTTGGTTTAAATATGGGGGACTGCCTTATATATGCCTTAGGCTCCGAGGGTAACTATATAAATAAATGAATAAACCCCTTAGCTTCTCTTTAATGCAACTCAGTGATGCAGGTGTGCCAATTGCACCATGACCAAGTCAGCTACATCTTGCACCAAAATTTTTTTTTTTTTTTTTTGCTGAGAGCTGCAGCACACCTGCGCCAGGATGGGCTTAAACAATACAAAAAAATTATAATATTGTGTTATTCGTTGATTTTAATAATTAAAGACAATGCGAGAATTTTCATACTTTGTGCAAACACCGCTTAGAACGAATCCCCGATGTGAATGATCTATGAAGCACACGTTCGTTTCTCACCACAAGCAATAGAAGTCAATGAAAGAAAGGAAAATGAGCAGCGTTCCCCCCCCCCCCCCCCCCCCCCCCCTTCCTCAACTTACAGCCAGAAAAAGGGCCCACATGATCTGGAGCTGATTACACGCCATCAATGTTGATCATATCTACGCGCTGGGGTTGGCAAAGCCGAGTTCCAGCCATTGCTATGGTTCGGCCATTGTCGTCATTGCAGCATACTTTGAGTTAACTCTAGTTCCCCTGCCGCTAAAAAGCGGTGTCACCTTTAAAGCCCGAGTGCAGTCCTTCATAATATTTGTGGGTGGTTATTCTTGCAGTTTCTGATATTAGTCTCGCGTTTGGCAGGTTCATATAACCTGGGGGACGCATTTTTATTTATTGACGTTTTAGTGGATATGCTGCTTTTTGTATGCATTGTACAAAAAAATTATATTTATAGGCTAAATAAACTAATGACTGTAAAAGGAGGAAGAGACAGTCTTTATCCCAACTGAAGTCTTGTGCAATGATCCAGTTTTCATCCATTTTTTAATACACAATGTAAATGAAATATACTTTGACCAGAGCCTTCTTTCTAGAAAGAAGGCTCTGGTCAAACCTGTTTTTGCACCTGATCTATCCTTGCTGCAAAAGGTAATACAGTCGAACCCGGATATATCGAATTCAAAAGGAATCGTAAAATAGTTCGATATTTCAATAATTTAATGTACAGAAATATGTTAAATTAAGCTTGAGTTGAAATTTCCTGGCATCTCTGCTAATACTGATGGTTGCAACAAACGAAAGCTTACCAAATAAAGCATCCAAGAGCCGCTAAGTACAGTAGAGCGTAGCTAATTCAGTAGAGCGTAGTTGGCGGAGACCGCAAACACGCCGCGCTTACACGCGCGCCCTTGGCTGGGACCTCCACACAGCATAAGCGACAAAACACAAAAATAATTTTAAGTGAAAGAAAAACAGAAAAGTGAGATGCATAAAAAAAAAAACATGCAAAACATTTAAGCTAGCCATAAAAAAGAAAGCTCACTAAATTCAGGCAGCAAAAAAAGAAAGGCGAAAAATGAAACGAAAAAAATTGGCAAAACAATAACTGCAAAAGAAAGATGTAAACAAAGATAAGGCGTTCAAAGTGCAATTGCACAACCATTGTTGTCGACACACTTGACTTAAAGAGGACTTCTTTATTTTGCTCATTTTATTTTGGCTCTAGGGAGTCGCGCAGCATCAGCAATGTTTGGGGAGAGGGCGCAGGCTATGGTTTCGACAGCGGGCACTCCCCGCTCTCCCTACGTGCGTGCCTGTCCTTCCCCTTGCTTTTGCTTTTCTCCACTTTTTTTTTACAGTTTATTATTTTTTTTTACAACTGTTCTTTTGCTGCGTATTTTACCACTGCCAGCCCCACAACGCAAACAATCTGCTCGCCACCGGTGCAATCAGATCGCAGGAAAAGCAACAGGCACCTCATTCGCTATTTCGCGTGTGATACAAAAAGACAATGCTCCTTTAGTATTACATGTGGTTTTCAAGGGGATGTTTGGACTGTTTGATATAAACAATAATTTGAAATACCCGAGTGTGATATAACCAGGCTCGACTGTATGCACCAGTATCAAAGAGAAATCCTCAATGAACTTATTTGGCGATGCTAGCCCTTTTTCATTTTTAAGAGATGTGCAACTAACAAATGTTGACATCTGCTCCAAAAGCACTAGTGGCTGCTCCAAACCAATGCGGAGTGCAAGTTCGTCTGCTTCGTTTGCAGGGGTTGTGGTGACATCAAAATGCCGAGCTCCGAATGAATCTGATTGAAGGATAGTGGGTAGACCTCGAGGCAGCTTGCTTTGAGCTCTACCCATTATCCTTCTATCGGAACCTAACAGAGCCAATCACAGCTCGGTGTCATTCTGTTGTCACTGCAACTCCTGCGCAAGAAGCAGACGACTTGCTCTCCGCATATCTTTCCTACTACAGAACCTACTATGGAAAGTCAAATGCCGCTTACATCACTGGCAACTTTATAATGTCACGTATCGTTGAAGACAACTCCATAACCTTTAATGGTAATTTCATGGGACTTAACAGAATCTTACCCAACTAACTTGAAGTTACCAGAAACACTGAGACAGACACGAGTGTGAACATTTAAGTAAAGACACTGAAATTGCTTAGTTCAAATGATGCAGCCTTGCCTTGCGCTGTGAAGGTCACAAATGTCCCTACACTATTTATTTGAAACTTGCGTCGTGGCTTACACAGAGGGTCCAGTTTTCGTAAAATGCCTAGTTTGAGGACGTCCATGTCGAGCTTGCCTTCACTTGCGGCAGTTTCAGACGGCTCGGTTTCATGCTCCGTTTTCTGTTCCCATTGTTTTGCAGGGATTCTGGGAGCTATGACGAAGGTGTTCACACACCAACAAGTAACTGCCCACTTTTCTCTGCACCAGTACACTTGCACGTGTCACATTTTTTGACAATATGCAGCCATGCACTGGATCAAGGTCTTTGATGACCAAGTAATCATAGAGCGAAAAATAATGCACATACAAAGGACATGGTGTTGTTTGTGCAGAAATATTCGTTAAAATAAAATTTATGGAGTTCTGAATTGCCATTCCTGCTTATAGAGAGGTGCTCATTACAGCTGAAATTTGTTTCCTTTAGGCATAAAATTTGGGAATACAGACAAGTTTCTTCTTGCTCAGAAATGCCTCGTAGCAAGTAAGGTCTCCAAGTCATTGCTGATTGAGCTCTGGATTCTCACAGTTCTGTTAAATGCAATTTCTTTCTGGACATTGCTAAGAGCAGACGAGACAGACATTGCTTTCTTCAAGCATTGCAGAGAGCATGTCTTCGGTGGTTTTCTCGGTACATTTGAACTGTTTTGCCGATATACCTTGTTTCCAACTTCCATGTTTTTTTTGTATTTGAGGTTCACTTTATGAACGGCATCTCAGGTGATGCTTCAGGACCTCCCTTTTCAATGGCTATTGAGTCATCCGCTAGAACAGGTATTTAAAACTAAGTTTCTTTTATTTTGAGGTTAATCTTTTTCCTGTATTTCAAGCTTTACGCACATGTTAACTTGCCACCAGCCTCACAGCACAAGCTCCCCAAAACTGGACCTGCATAAGAAAAGGCGGCGTGCAACAGCAGTCGTTTTACATGGTGAATTTAAAAATTAAGCTTTACTGCAGTGCTGCAAAGCATACTTTGTAAGAATCTTTATTGAGATTCGCTGTATGACCCTATGAATTCCAGCAGGGCGTCACTGCAGGCTGCTATATGAACAGTTCTAATGCAGACAGGAATCTTTTATTCACCATGACTTTAATGGGGCTCTGCTGCAAAGAGGTTACTGTACAGGGCTTCGCTGCAGTTAACTTATTTCACTGCTGGGATCTTATGGGGACCTATTTAGGGATTGACCACGCAGCTTGCTCGCCATGGTGTTTTTTTTGGCATGCATTAGAATCCAGATGAGGTTTCACTGCACAGCTGCTGCACTGTGAAGCCTGCTTCATGAAGACAGTTGCACTGGTGAGGGCTTCATTGCATACCGTCCACGCTGTGCACAAAGCCGACCTCATGGTGGAGCTTTACTGCGCAGCTGCAGTGTCCTGAAGCCTGCACCACGAAGATAGTTACGCTAATAAGGGCTTCAGTGCACGCCATCCATGCTGTGCACCAAGCGTTGCGAAGCTTTGCTGCACAACAGCTGCATTGTTAAGCCTGCATTACGATTTTTATACTTCAGAGGGTTTCACCACACACTTTTGTGTGTGAAGCCTGCCTATGAAGGTAGGTAGCCTCCCTGCCACACGTGCCTTCTTTGTATCCAGATGACACAATGTACCCTTCACTTTGTGTCCGCAGGTGTCCTCTCCAGAAGGCGACCTCTTCCCCACGGACTACCGGACAGACGAGCCGTACTCGGACCCAACGCGCGTCCCGACAGACTACTACGGCGACGTGCCGATGCGGCCGGCACCGGTCATGGCCACGTCGTATCGGACGAGCAACTTCGACGACTGGGACAATGCACCGGACCCTTACATGGAGGACAAGTTGGATGAGACGCCGCACTCGCACCCTAGGCACCACCATGCGCACCGTTCCGACTACGTCCGTGAAGACGACGACGACAGGGAGTACCGTGGCGGCGAAGGATCCACGCTGCACCGGGGACAGAAGTATCCGGTCAACGTGCTCTAATGGCCGCCGCTCAAGCCGCTTTTGGATCGCTGTCGTCCAGGGAAGATAAACGCCGTCTTGGCCTGGGGAACAAATCTCCCCACATTGTACCCAGTTTGGGGAATTGTTCCAGGGACAAGGGATCCCCAGATATGCACCATGTCTCGGTCTGGGGAATGGACATCCCCATATTGTCCCTAATCCGGGAAAGAGCGATTCCTCGAATTTGCGCCGCTGTGTCGGTCTGGGGAATGGACATCCCAGAATCGTCCCCTAGTCTGGGGGCGAGGGATCCCCAGATATGCGCCATGTCGTGCCACGGGGGGCTCTGAAACTGCCCCCCTCCTCTCCCTTCCTCCGCCCCCACTCACTTTTTCGCCAACTTCGTGTGGCGGGTTCGTTTCCGCCATGCGGGACGCTCTCTCCTCTCGCTGCTCAACGCTCGACGCCGGAAAAAGCTGCCGCTGTCGACAAACGCGTTTTTCAGGTTGAGACATATGGTGTGGCAGCCATTTTTATTTTGAGTTTGTTAGTGTTTTTTGAGGTTGTGTCTTAATAACAGAAATCGGGAAGCGTCTGTGTCCGACACCATTGCTGGAGAGATTAGGCATTGCTTGGTTCACACTTGCGCTGTGTATTGCCAACGAGGCGTCTTAATTTCTCGGTCGTTCTTCAATGGGTCAGCTCTTGAACAGTTGAGTTGAACTGTCTGCTCATTTAAGTGAGCGGAAACTTCAGACTCCCCGAATTCTTTTTAGAAATGCGCGCAAAAGGCAGGCTGAAGAGGTTAAGACTCCTCGGAGACTCCGGGGAATGCTTAAGAAAAACTGCAACTGTAATGTCTTTTTGCGAGGAATGCTCGCAGCATTGTTTCAGTTGAAGCATGCCGGTTTCTAGCGATCCCGATTACCCTTTTCTAGTCCCTTATTTATTCTTCACTCCGAAAGAAAGCCTTTGGTCGCTCTTACGGGGTATGCATCGTAAGAGACCTCCAGAACCCCATTTTTCGGCAAGTTGTTTTCTTTCGAGCTTCTAAAGCTTTTTGGCGCCTTACATCTGCTGAGCCTGTCAAAGTACTTGTTATTGTTTTGGATTAGTCGCTCGGTTACTTTTTTTGTGGCTGTTAACTTCCAATGCTTTCCATAATATGACTTACAGTAATGCTGTTTCGTAGAATATTTATTGACAACTTGCAGACCGCTGCATACTAAAGTTTTCCATGTGGACAGATGCCAACAGTTGATCAGAATCATTTTATCTAGGATCTTAGTTTTTTTTGCCCTTTTCCTTTGTCATAGTTGTGCGTGCAGCAGGAAACCCACATTCTCGAAATCTGCCGAAGGACCTTTGATCCCGAACCATGCCAGTGGTGCATTACCTGCTGGCTTACCGCGCTTAAGCAACCAGTGTATTTTGTATTTTCTTAGCTCTTTTAGTGGGGCGAGCCCTTTCAAGTTCACAAAATATCTCAAGGACTGCTGCATTTTGTTTATTTCGCGCTCATAAAATAGGTTGTGAGCTGTTCGTCTCGACCTTTGTTTCACGGTGCCTACTTTCCTAGGCAGCGTTTAAAGAGGGTCCCGAAATGCGGCGTCGTTTTCTAGAGACGCGTGGGACGTTGCACGGGTTTGGCGATTGCAATGGCGGACGATCCGTCTTGGCCGGAGGAGAGTTAAGTTAGGGTCCTTAGCTTCGTTAAGATGGCTTTGCCCGTGCATTATTTTCCCCCAACTCTTTGTCGAGAATGCCAACAGGAGCATTCTGGGTGTCGAACGTAGTTTGTACTAACAGACGCCTAGATTTGTAAGTTTCGGCTCCGTTGCAGTTGGACTCGTCCCTCGGAGCCGAGCCCAGTTTCTAACGGTCGTTCCGACCTCCACTCGCGTCGGCCGCAGTTTTCTACGTGCCTGTAGGCAAGAGACCACAACACAGAGTGGGGGACTGCAAGTTCCAAAGCGCCCACACGGTTTGATCCCTTCTCTTCTTTCCCCTCTCTCTAGCTCCCTCTCTGGCTTCGTTTTTGTAACTCGAAGGCAACTCTGGGCGTGGGCCTCAAACTGCTCCGACTTTTGGGTCCGGTTACTGCAGCTCTCGCACTTTGCGTCCGCGCGCACTAATTGGCCGGGATTAGTTGGTGTTGACTTCAGCCACGAGATGTTTGCGGTTTTGTTCTGTACGGGCCGACTTGCAAACTTTCCTTCATCTTGGATGAAAATCTTTCTTGTCCTGTTTCTTGAGAGTGAAGGGCATAGGGCCTCTTTTGGGAGTGGTGACGGACGAGCTATTGCCGTTTCAAAGTTGGCAGAAGGGTTACGTTCGAATGACACCTTGACTCGAGCTCAGCGTTGTCCTTTGATTTTTGCGGAGAGCGGCCCCAACTCAAAATTGTGTCGTCGGTCAGGGTCAACCATTTCACCGAGGCGGTTAAAATTCGGAAAACGCTCTTATCGTAGGTGTCCCAGGTGTCGTAAACAGCGGCGTTTTAATGAGCGACAGTTGGATCAGTTAGCCCGGGGAAGGCCTGTATGGAGTTTTAGTTGCTGAGACTCGTTGGGTGCAAAACAATTTCAGAGCAGACGGACGCGTATAAAGCAAGACGCAAACATATGCGCGTATAAAATCATCAACACGGTCTAGGACGCAGGACCCAAAGAGCTTTGCGGCACTCTTTTCTCGACGCTGCCTTAATGACGTGTTCAGGAACGAAAACAAGAGTAACGCAGTCACCAGAGTGCTCGAAAGAGGAGAGTGAGAGGCGGACAAAAATGATTGGTGTTTCGATAAACTGTCGGCCCGGCATCCCCTGGCTTCGAGCGCACTTGATTCGAGCGCGTAGACTGTTCCTTCCTCCAAGTTTGACTGGCGATCGTGCGAGTTGCTCACGTGTTGTACTACGTCATGCTTTTTTCTCTTTTCCCCGAGCTTTGTCCTCGGAGCCAGCTCCTTGAGTAGTTGCTGGTTGCACCACCTGCAATAGGAAGGGCCATTCTTTTCCCACTCGGTGTGAATTTGGAAGAATGCGGCATCTTTGTCAACAATTAGCTTGTTTTTGCCGTCGATTTGGGGCTCTCGTCGACTCCTCGCTTTGCTACATGCTCGGCGTCAATTTGAGCATCGGTTGCGGCGCATGTACATACGTATAAACCGGGAAGAATGCTTACTCTGGGTTTGATTTCTTGTTTGCATTTCTTTACAGTAGTTTTTGCTAATATTTCATTTGCAGCGATGGAAGCACCAGTGGCACCACCGACGAAAGTCTGCTACACGTTGCTCCAAAACGTTATTTATGCTAAGAATTGTGCCACATCCGCGCCGACATGGCCTCGAACGAAATGGAAATATAAAATATTTTCTTATCGGTCTATCCTAATACTCTGAGAAGTGAAAGGAAACAAAAAGGGTGTGAATATGTATTTGACATTTTAATATATTAAAGCGCAAAATGATGAAGGAAAAACAAAAAGACAGGAAAGAGTACTCTGCCCTGTTTTTCTCGTCGTATATTAATATGTACTACCAACAAGCCCGCCAGATGGTCTTAATATGTTTCACGGTTTCTTTACCCACCGTTTAGGCTTTTTGATCTTGGGTCAAAGCACATTCGAGGGCTCGAACACACATAATCACAAACCCGCATACTAGAAGTGCGAGTCCATGGCATTCGCAGCGCTTCATTGGCCTAACCTACGAAAAAACACAGAGATAGATGACAAACGCTACGGTGTCGCGCTTTGACTCCGCTCGATTAGTTGCGTTGACTCGTAGCTTTACCCGTGTTTCGACTTAAGATGAAGCTTTGCTTCATCTTAACCACCTAATCCTGCTTCAATCTTGCCGACATTGTCCGAATTTCCGGACGATATCGGCGACGTGGGGAGCTGAAATTCGCGGCAGAAGTTTGCAAAATATTTGCGTGGCAGCCATTGTAATGAGACGGACCCAGTGTCTTTTACTGCTGACGACATCGCTCGATTGTCGTGTGTGCCGCATGCCACAATGGCGTGGCTCCGTGTACCGTGGCACTTGCACCGCAGTGCTAGGAGCAGCGGCTGACGCAGGAAGCACGTGGATTTGCGCAATTTGCTCTAACATTATGCTTTGTACCATTACGGGCCAACCTTCTTTGGTCCTCCCGAATCTGTGCCAAGGAAGGAAACAAAGCTTGGTTCTCTCTTTCGATCGACTGCTGGACGGGAACGCGCAGCGGTGAACCAAAAAGGCATCAAATTTTTCTATGAAACGTCCAGTGCTGCTTCCATCGCTGCATTTGTCAACTCAGATTGTAGCATTTGAAGGAATGGTACTGTCTTCGAAAGTATCTCCTTAAAAACTTGAAAATGAGCCAATCGCTTAAATTCAGCTAGCACCGATAAAAAATGTGATTGTTTCCATAGGTTGTTAGCGGCATATACTAAGTTACAGGTGAGAGGTGTCCCATTCACTAATTGCTAATCTGGCTAGGGCTTGTCCAATTGGGAAACTTTAGAAACATGACAATTTAATAGACCAGTGAAGACGTTATAGGCATCACCTGTTTGTTCCACTCGAATCTGTTTGCTTCTGTGGCTGCTGTTTCTGGCAGGACCGGGGCGCTGCTTTAGTTTTTGAGAGGATCCACAGTACGGTTTTATCGATGGCGGATCACCAGGCGTGTTGAAGGTAGGTCGTATCGGAACTAGCCCATCACATTCCACCAGTTTCTTGGGCCGTCAAGTGTGGTATCATAGCATACATGACTGCGACCAATGGGAGATTGCATTGGCCTGATCGGTCAGATTGAAAAATCGGACGAATACCCGTTTTGTGCGATGCAAGGTTGTGAGGTTTCTAGGTTCATTCGTAACAATCCCTAGTCATGCTTACTCAGTTGAAAGCCTGCCTGCAGTAACGGGAAACATACCAAAACTCCTTTTGTGCCCTCCAGATAGCTCCGCATTTTTTCTTTCATGTTTTTTTTTTTTGGAATGCCAGTGCACGGAGCTTTACCGCGACCGTGTACGGTGGTGTGCGAGAGATCCAGGAGGAATGCGCGTCGAAGTCGAGTTGCGCCCGTAAGCTGGCGAGATGCCGGGCCTTATTCTTGCCACACCAGAGAGGCAGACTTCCTTGGTACCTCCCCCAAGCCACGCTAGTCGAAGCGACTCGTCACAGTATGCACCGACTGCTACCAACTAGCTGCTAGCACTGTACCTGCTGACCTTCGTGGCACCGTCGAGCTGTTTGGATGCAGTTTAGAACGCCATTTCGGCGAGCCTCGTTCGGTCGCGTTCGTCAGTCGAGCGCCACCGAAGGTGGCGAAGATCTTAAGCCAATCAAGCGAGGGCCACATTCTCTTCTTTTCCTCATTGTACACCGGCTCTGCAAGTTGCAAGGCCCGAGTTCATTTGCCGCACTCGTCGGACTCTTCCTTCTCGTAGCTACCGCAGCTTTAGTTAGTCTTTTGTCACCCACACCGCAGTTAAGCTTTTTCTAAACGATTTCGGCGTCGTCGAGTGGTCGGCGAAAGCGTCTTGCGAAGCTCGTCTCTTAGCACAGATTTGCGCGCCACGAAATTTCTTTCTGCCACGAATTTCTGTCATGGCAGAATGGCTGCGGCCAGCGTCGCGTCGTGTGGGCGCTTGTCGTGGTGCGGAGAGGGAAAAAGAACTGTTGCGTGTGCACCCGGGTTCCGCAGAGTCGCGCGACACGGTTGTGAAGTGAGATTCGTCGTCAACCATCTTTTCATTTACGTTTAACTGTCTGTGAGAAAGAGCGAGAGAGCTGTTGAGGCTTTGTAAATATGTACACCAAGCTCCTTCCCTTCTTTGCCTCTTTTACGATCTAGCGAGAAGCAGTGATGCCACGTTTCTCCCCAGTGTAAACAGTGCCGCAGTCGTCGACATTTTCTACTCATTCCCTTCCTTCGCGGAAATATATAAATTAAATTTGCGGGCGCACGCACCCAAGGCTACACAGTTTTTGACAGAGAAGAAAAACAACAAAAAAGAAAAAAAAACGCTCCAGGCCACGTCTGGGCGTGCTTTGTCAAGAAGTCTTGTGCTTTCTTTCTCCTCTTGAACAAAGCGATTTCGTAAGAAGAGGCGAGGGAAATTGGCATATATATATATATAAATATATACATATGCGCAGTGTATGTGCGCAGAATATGTATAAACATGACCTGAGTAACCCTCTTTGGCGATTTGTAAATAAAGTTATTGCCAAACACCTAGAGCATCTCCTGTTTGTCTCGGGGCCATCAAGTCCCACGTTGCGCCATCTAGCTCAAAATATTTGCAGATCTGGGAAGGTTTTTTCGCCAGCGTGCTTGCTCGTGGGGCAGTGCACGCATCCCTTAATTTGAGGGTGCCTTTGAGAGGGTCTTTTATTCGTTGCCATCAGCTGTCGCAGAAGAGCAAACTTCAAAGGCACTGTTGCGTCCCCGAAAGCAGGCGTGAAGCTGCACAGGTTTCCATCGAGGCTGGGGGGAGACTGTTCAAGATAAATAAATGCTCTAAAACAAGTAAAATAGCCATTCCGTTCACATTACATGACTCGAGATGGATTTCTAAATGTCCTTTTTGACTCGATATTTGGAATTAATGTGCTCGAAGCGGGTGTTGTCTTTGGTTTTGATGCGACGATTCCCAAAAGTCGGATCAGTCCTTTGACATTCTCACTGCTTTCTGCTCCATAGACATGTCTTCACCAAACAATATTTTGCGAAGTTTGAGCGTAGCTACCCAAATAAGTGTTTTCCCTTTTCACGGGTTGCAGAGCAGACGGTTTTTTGAGCCTTTATAGACCGTTTCCACAAGGGCGGCGCCCTCTTGAATTTTGTTACTTCCAGTATGGGCGAAAACATTGTTTTGCCGTCGCCACGCCATTTACGATATACTAAACGTAACCATCACCCATTCTCGTTTCCTGTTTGCAGGTTGGATTTTTTTATATTTTCGTTGCCCATACCGGATATGCCTACCAGGTGGCTGAGGACAAGAGTAAACATTGTTTACTCTTGTCCAAAGTCATGTAGTTGACAAATCTGGTATGCACGATTCAATAAAGGCAAGGCAAGAACGACCTGGAACAACTAAAAGAACATAGAAGAGTCAAAACTATAAATGATAGACAGTTGCGATTAAAACGTGGGCTTCTCAGTGGTGTGAAAAGAGCAGGACGATGTTTTACCGCATACCGGAAGCTTCGCAATTCAAGATGGCGGCACCCGCGTCGCAGATCAAACGCGCGTTCACACCGCCAAGTCTCGGCTGTCGGGCAACAACTTTTGTGCTAACAGCAACAGTCGCAAGTCGCGAAAGCGACAGATTTGGAGCAGTCACTTCCAGACCGAATTTGGCGACTTGTCGCCTAGGCGCCTGAACCAATCAATGGCGCATCGCATTTCTTTACATCCGGCACACCAAACTTTAGTGGGAGAAGCAACCAACATGTCCGTTCAACGCCTCGGTAAAGCCACAGAGGTCTCTGCTGCGTGGCTCTGGTCAGCACTATTAAAGAATACATACCCATTGCTTTATAAACGCAGCACCCCAATTTGAGCGAGAACCCAAGAAACAACTTGGCCTGGCAGCGAATCTGTCACTCCTTGACAGGTATGTACTGCAACGCAACGCGCTACCTTTATGCGTGTGCACGCCGGATTAGCGATCGTGTTTCTTTGTACGGTTTCCAAGGATTCAGGTCTACAGAACGAGTAATTTATATGGCAACAACGACGCGTGTGGAGCAGCGAGACAACGAAAATTAAAAAGCAGCGAAACACGACCCGTGGCGGGGTGCACATAATCAACGGCAGCTCCTGCAAGCCATGCAAGCTTTCGAGAAGTGACTTGCTGGATGGATGGGCCATATTGGCTATGCCCTTCTTTGTAATGGGCGGTAGCTTGCGCCACCTAGCCTGAGAAAATGCTTTCCTCCCCCACTTGAAGGGGCCCTGGAATCCTATTTCAGCGTCTACCTTTTTTTTGCGGTTTCCACGTCTCTTGTGGTTTGGGCAACCCAGCGGGCACGGAGAGAGTAACTAAATATCACCGAGTCATATTTTAACCGGACGACGCGGAAACCTCCTCCTTCTACGGTCCGCGTAGGAGGAGGAGGAGGTTCCATGGAGAGTCCCTCTCCATGGTGTCTAACGCGCGCGGCATGTGAGGAAATCGTGACGTTTTTGGTCCTCACGTCAGCCGAGGAGAAAGAGCTGCCCCGTTCCCGGGCAGCTTCTCTCCTCGGCCTCGCCTCCCTCCACATTTCTCGGGGTCACCGCAGCTAGAGGAATCCTCCGCACGGCACGGGAAAAGGGGGAGCATAGGACTAAGGACGTCATGAAGGAGGTTATTTTTTGCTTGTTTTTGTAATTTTAATATGCCTATAGGTTTTAAAATAAAGCGAATCTTGAGAAAATAAAAAGTCCACCAAGTTGCTACGTTCAGTGCGCTCAGGTTCGGTGCAAATGAAAAAAAAAAAAAAACCTTAAAAATGTCGTTGCAGGGCCCTTTTAAATACCCAATTTTTCCCTGTACATCCTTGCAACTGTCGCTGGGCCGGGGGAATGAACCACCAGGCTGACCTTTGGGGAATTGGGCTAATACAAAAAAAAAAAAAAAAATAATGTAGAGCCCTTCCACTTTACGTTAAGATGGAGGACAGGCAAAGCTGTTATCTTTACGACGTCTAGGATGATGCCTAGAGGACGCCCAGGCGAAAATCGGTCCACTTTCAGCTGGATTATGGAACTGGAAATGAGATTGCCCAGCTGGACCGCCTCATTTCCAGCTGTGTCCAACTGGGATCCAGCTGGAATCCAGCTGGACCGCCTCATTTTCAGTTCCATAATCCAGCTGGAAGTGGACTGATTTTCGCCTGGGCGACCTCAAGGGTGATGTCTAGGACAATGCTTAGGACAACCTCGAGGACAACGTCTAAAGCGCCGTTCACACATATGCGACCGAGTAAGACCGAGAGAGACCAGACCGGTTTTTAAGCCTCTTGCGATGTTTTAGGACTGGATGCACTGCAGCGGAGCTGGTCCTAAGACGTTGCCAGAGGCGGTCTGATCTCTTTCGGTCTTACTCGGTCGCATATGCGTGAACGGCATTTAAGACTACCTCAAGGACAATGTCTAGGACTACCTCAAGGACGACACCTAGAGAAATTCAGCCTTTCCACTCTGGCAAAAACACTCGAAAGGTTGCAGCCATCTACGAGCGACGGCGGTAGCTGTCTGGAGTCTTGTGTCGACATTTCTTTGTCCGCAAACACGGTACTGGGGAAGAGCAAGTAGCTTGCATAAGTCAAACCGCAGCCTATTGGAGCCGCCCCTGCTTAGACAGGTTTGCCTTGGCACTTCTTTTTTTTTTCTGAAAGTGGAGTCTCGACACCGATACAGAACGTAATAACTGTCAGTGTTAAATAATGCTTGTGGGTTTCACATCACAGAAACGGGAATTTGAGAGCATTTGTGGGTATGGCACAAATGCTTTCAGCCTTGTTTTGCTTTTCTGTGTGAGGAGCAGTTTCCTGACATAACTGCAGTGTAAGCATGGCAAGAAGCTGGAAGCGAAAACTTTTTTTATTACACACACACGGGAGTACATCTTCAAAGCAATAAATCAACTATCTTCATTAGCCACATTCGGGTCTTCCAAATAGCAAAAGGTGCATACGTCCACCGTAGCAACAAATATAATTCTCCAACCAATAACTTCAATATATATTTCGGCAAGTCTACGTACAAATGCTAAAAAAATAATTTAGAAAGGAACAAAATACACCCATCTGTCCTTTTGGCACCTGGATGGATTGCCCCAATGAATTTTATGTCCAACGAAACAGCATTACCAACTAAAGCAGAAGAGACAGGTTACTGATGGGGATAATATTTGTGTGACCAAGCTAGCTTGTAAGGCCCAAAATGGGTACACTCACAGGAGAATCTACAAACAGCCTTTGCAAAAACTCTTACTACTAAAATTACCAGCTTTGCAAACACCAGTAAAACAAATGGGGTCCCGTGGTGAACAATGCAAATACAGGTCACCGTATACCACAGGTGAAAAACCAACAAAAAATGCATGAAAACAACCCATCGAATCCAACAATCAAGGTCCAAGGCACCATAACCACACGTGAGGAGACCTTAACTAATTGTGCCATCAATTAGTAAAACAACACTTTTAAGATTATGTCCAATAAGCATACAAAACAGTCATCAAAGTAGTACAAAATTTTAACAGCACTCGTTACAGCTTTTTTGACGCGTTGCTTCATAAAAATACTTTCAATCCAACGTTTTAAAAAAAAGTCACTGGCTGCCTCGCAATCATTCACAGCACTTTATGAAGTCAATCGAGGTATGCACCACGGTCAAGGCTCGAGACAGTATAATCACGGTCAGAAACGGCCCAACACACTACAGCATTTGGGTCCCCGGCACAAAACCAACACTGCACTCCAGTAAGATCAAACACTGTAGATCGCTGTTTTCTGGTTCAATGGACCGGGGGAATCTTAGCATCTCTAACAAGACCAACTCCTCACAAAACAAACCTGGCACTAACTCTTCATTCTATCCCAATGTTGAACTTCGAATAAACGCAAGTTTGTCAGGTCGTCAGACACAAGAGTAGAGAACCAATCACTTAAGGCCTCGCTCGATTGACTAGACCTAGGAGAACAACTTCTACACGATGCATGATGCAGTTTCCCGCAGATAACAGATACGCATTTCACGTTCGAAAGATCACGCAAAGAGGCCCCTCTAACACAATGGCTAAATGAAGATGTTTACCTTTGCGAAGCCATCAATTGGCAGACAATTTAATTTTTTGCTCGTTACCGGGGCAGCAAAAAGTATGTCGCATTAAGAGTCGAACTGATACATTCTCGTCATTCGCTAGAACGTAGTTAGTGTATGATTTTGGACGGCCAAGATTTTTAAGACACGCACCACCGACTACCGGTCCCCATTGCCAGTAACTAGCAAGCCAGAAATTGCTTGCTCATTTCATACTTCCGTTTACCGAAAACAGAAGCTTCGACAACTTTTGTTTCCCAAAGTCTAACTATGCTACTGACAGAAACTACAATGTGCAGTCGTCTAAAACTTGTTCAATGAAACAACTCAAACAAATCAAAATATGCAACAAAAAAAAAACATTAAAATTGCAGTTGCTGACAAAAGCAAACTGACCGGCACAACCACCGCGAGCCTCGAGCGTCAGCGCCATATTTGTGCACTAGTAAGCAGACTATGAATAAACGTGAATACAAAGACGAGTCTCCCATCCTTACTAGAGCTGGGTAGCGATGGGACCAATGGCTCGGTAGTTTATTACGAGCTCACCAGCTCGGTAAACGTGCTTCTCGGCCGTTCACGGGGAGCAGAACAATGCTCCAGTCAGACCGGCGTTTTATTGGATCCCGCCACTCCCGAGGACGGGTGATGCAACGACGGTTAGCGGAAGCCGGCGTCGCTGTCCGCGCAGCTCTGGACGTGGCGAATGTAGGCGTCGCGGGTGGAACAACTGGCGCCACACAGCGGGCACGGCAGGTTTGAGTCTGTCGGGGACGCCGACTGCAACAGAGGGTCCCATCTCAGTCACGTGAGAGAGAAATCTACTTCCCTCTTGTGAAATCAGCAGACAATTTGTCCGCTATATAAATAAAAAACAAAAAAACAAAAAGCAGACGAGTGTTTACGGGGACTCTGTAGCGCCGAGCTCCAACCGGAATGAATAGTGGGTAGACCGGAAGCTGGAGTTGGGCCTTCGAGCGCTTTGGAAGAGTGACACAAAGGTGCCCACTGATCGTTCCGGCCGGTGACAGGTTGAGACAAAAGTGGAAGCTCCTCCCACCTCTTCACTTTAGCAGAGCAGGAGAGGTGGTCTTCCTTTCAGCGTTCACTCTGCTGAAGTGGAAAGAGGTAGGAGGAGCTTCCACTTTTGTCTCAACCTGTCACCAACTATCTGCTAACAGAGCTGAACAAAGGTGGCTGTCTGCTGCGATCCTCTTGGGACAAGTACGGTGGAACCTCAATTTTGATGGGGACCAAAACTTTGTTTGAATAATGGAAAGTTTGAATTACCGGGAGTTGCCTTCCTAAAAACAGATTGGATGGTTAGTTTGAATTAAGAGGGTATGGATTAAAGGGATTCCACTGTATATACAGTGCAACCCACTTATCACGATACCACATACAATGATGTACCGCTTATAACGATATGTTTCTGGAGTTTCTAGACTAGAAATGATCAGTTTGTGGTTCAGATACAACGATAATCGGTTATAACAATCGAAATATTGGGTTTTCTTATTTTCGTTACAGTCGGTTGCACCGTATAAGGGGCCAAGAAAACTCTTTCTCCATTTTGTTGTCGGTGAGAACATTCCAGAAAAATACCGGCCTATCGTAAACTCGTTGACAGGACAAAATTTGGCCCTTGGTCGATGGTGCTCGCTCAAAAAAGCCGCAACATTGCACCCGGTTGGCGGCTGAGAAAGCTCTCGCCCAATACCAGGCCCCAGGGAAACTTACAGGGACGGTTCAATACCGTAGGATTGTGTCACAAACCCCGCTTGTTAGCGTATCAAGAAAACAGGGCAGAAGGACGACTTGCAGACGGCTGCCGTAGGGAGCAAATTTACGCTCTTGGCTCTTTACTATGGAAGCCTCCTCCTTAAAAATTTTGATGCACACAATGCACCAGCTTTGGCCACCTCCGTAAAAAATGTTGGCCGAATTCACCAAGAAACCAGTTCCGAGGGCCAACGATCCATTTGACTTTCGCGGTATATGTAAGTTTGACAGTTCTCCGCTATCAGGAATGGGTCGTGCAAAACAAGCAGCTTTCTGAGGGTTGCTTCCCTTCTTGTCCTGTGCTTCATCATTTAGGACGTTTTTCTCTATTGTGTGTTTGCACGGTTGCCGACTAATTTTTCGGACGCCTATTTTTCCGATATGTTTGGACGTCTTCGCCGAGCCGTCGTACGCATGATAGAGTTAATGTATAGCATTGACCGAAATTTAGGACGTCATAAAGCTTATTGCTCAATATTTCTGACATAATTTGCACAATTTTTTAGGTTTACAGGCACAACACAGCCGCCGCGATAGCGCAATCTGCAAGCTTAGTTGCCGCCATTTTGGTTGCTTTGATTTTGCCTCGTAGCCTCAACACAACGTCCTACGCAACAAACAAGCTAGGTGGAGGCTATAGTCGGGTTTTCCAATTCCGCTATTGGCAAGTCCAGCGAAATCGACGCCGCGTAGCGGCAATGCCGGGAAACTCAGGAGAGGAGGTCGTTTCGATTCTGTCGTCTGCTATCGCTGCTTGGTTCTTGTAGGCAGCATAGAAACAAATATTGTTTCTAGAAATTATTTTTATGCTTCCATCTGCCATCGAAAAATCGCTTTACTTTCATGTGCAACACAGATTTTTTCGCTGCAATGCAAACAATTTATGGCGGTCCGTGTGCTGAACAACGAAAACTATTTCTTTTCGTCCGCCATTTTGCCTGACCAGCATGTGCCCTATAGTTCACTGGAGTTGCGAATAGCCAACATGGCCACTGTCTGCCCATTCTTATGGTTCTTCCAGTTCTTCTCGTGGTCCGTGTTTTTTGAGTGCGACCACGAGAAGAGCAGCCGTATGCCTTCTTGTGGTCTTGGAGTGCGAAGGTTTTTTGCCAATAAGCTTGGTATTGTAGCGAGCTTGGTGGACTAAACATTGTTTCTAAATAGTGCCAAATGACACCAACTTCAACTGTGCTTTTTGTACAGAGCGCGACACTGTTAGCGCGAAAAAGCGATCGCCGGTTTTTTTAGTTTTTCTCTTTAAAACCAAAGGATCTCATCCAAGTTATTATTGCTACGGAAAGAGCTAATTTAGTTCTATAATGTAAGCGAAATATTTCGTGCTCGCTAATACTATTTAAAAGTAAAATGCGAAAATGCACCCATGTCGTTTTCGCGCTAACAGTGTCGCGATGTGTACCAACAAAGGCGCCGACAAAGCCAGCACCGGGATCAAACAGATGAACAAACAAGTTAAAAGTGAACAATATAAAGCGGAAGTTGCACGAAAACTAAACTTGACACCAAGCAAGTGAAAAGTGGCCAATACGCTGCAGAATATGCGCGGAAGTTTGATCATTTGGTTGAAATAGGTTTTTGTGACCACGTGATTATTCTAACAATTTCGGGGTCCCCTCCGAGTCCGAAAGATAGGTCGGCAACTGTACCTCATTCCCCGAAAAAATGCATCAATAGGAATCAAAGCTGACGAGCAGTCTCATTTTCCTTCAAGCAACACCGTTATGGTAAAATGGGGCCTACTCGCCAATTGGACCCTAGTCCGACGCCTAGAGTCCTTCAACGCATCGATTAAACGAGAGATCCACTGTGTGCCTGCACTCAACCTTGCTGCGACGACACTGAAACGCTGGTGCCGTTGCCCTTTCGTTGCCCTTTTGGGGCCGTTGCCCTTTTTAGAGCCCTCCTACCAGATACCCGCAGAAAACGGTGCGAATTCTGTGGATTTGCGAGTGTTTTCGTCTCAATTCAGACACTGTTTTGGGCTCGAATTTTCGATTTTGACCAAAACATGATGTTTCTCCCACCTGTTGAAGATGGCATGTTTCACTGCTCGCTATTTTCTCACTTCTCAAACTACAGCACAAGGGCTTTGCAGTGACACTCTCAAAAGAGATTTCATGGTGGTAAATGTATTAAAAGAAATCTTGTATTTTATAATCATTAAAAAAAAAAAAAAAGATGTCAAACTATCTTTTTGGGTTATTTTTGGCAAAGTTTGATGAATTTTTGAGACGAGACTTGTTTAAGATTCTTTAATTACCTTTAGATCAACAAATAGCTCAAAGTTAGCTCCTTTTATTATGCACAAATTCATTTTTATATATACAAAATGTGTGAGTGTAAAACGTTTAATGAAAAAAAAAAAGAGAGAAGTGGTCGCACTTGCGCGTGACTTCTTTCTCGGGACTTTCCCCTTAGAAAGCCCCCCTTCTAAATGTCCTGACTTAGGTTGCTCGACATCGTATAATCGAGCAGTGTCCGTAAGATTCCATCACTCTTTTATTAGGGGCGTGGTGCGATAGTGATCTATTATAAAATATAAAATATAGTACTAATATGTTGATAGGACTGAAAAGAAAGCATGAATCTTGTCATGGTTAACACCTGAGACAGAACCTTTTGAAATGTGCGTTTAAAACGGCAAGCTTTGTTGCGGAGTAAAATTAGTTTTATTCCGCATGAAAGGACGGTTACAATGCACAACTGACAAGATTCAAGCTTTAATTACAGTCATTCAAACAAAATACTATGTTTTATGAGTATATTTCCTGGTAAGCCACACTCATACCTTGGTACTAATAAAACATGAAAATTTTGTTTTTTTTAAGTTGGTTCCAAGTTTGATAGATTTTCTAAGCATTCAATAATTCAAATGTATACAAGATATTGTTATGTGCCTATAATACCGAATTTATATGCAATAAAAAGAGTTGAGCTAGAGCTTTCTGGTGATATTAAGGTCATTAAAATATTTTAAATTGCTCACATTGAAGAATTTGCCATACTTAGTCAAAAATAATCAGACAAGTAATTTTTTCATAAATAAAGTGGAATAAAATTTTGTTTGAGTGTCACAAAAGAGTTCTTGAGCAGTGGTTTAAGAAGTTAGCGAGCGGTCATCCATGTGATCTTTGACAACTGGGAGACACGTCAGTTCTTGCTTGGGCCACTTCAATGCTCAATAACTTGAATGTCTTCCAAGCTTAAGCTCTCTTTCATTTAAAAAATGTTTACGCCTTTTTTTTTTTTTAATAAAATGTTAATTTTAGGTTTATGCCCGAGTTAAGATGAAAAGACTGTCGGTATGTCCCATCTATCCAGTGACAGGAACCAAGGAATCTGAGCTTGAGCAACAGACGGAAACTCGCCTCATGCCCAGGTGATGCCTGGCTGTCAGCAGGCTGGGCCCTGCAAGTGAACCACCAAAAGTGAGGGCGGGAACCTCAATCACACTCCGCGCCCGTAAAATCGCTAATCTCTCGCGTGCATTTTTTTATCTCGGGGAAGGGGGGGGGGGAATACTTGTTGGCTTTGACAGACAGTTTATTTCACTTTTTGTCGATAGCCAAGGAGAGGTCAGCACACATTGTATTTTACGACAGGGGTTCTCAAACGTTTTGGTCTCACGGAACCCCAGGCAGCCTCAAAAACTGTCGCGGAACCCACCCCCATCCATATTTGCCGACCGAGAAGCAACAGATGCACATTTGTAGGCAATTTTGCTTGTGTTGCTTCCCATATATCCCCACCATATCAGTCGCGATGTCAGTACAAAGCGAGATGAAGGCGCTTTGCATGGTCCTGCCGCGCAGCCTGCGGCATGGGGGAGGGGGGGGTTGCAATTTGGGTGTTCGCGGAACCTAGTGCCACTAAATAAGCTACGCTTCAGAGTAACGACACTTGGCCATATTGTGTCTTAAAATCATGGTTGCCAGTTATCTGAAGCTTTATCTGAAATCACAGGAAACGCCTTTCCGCCCTCCACAAATGTTTAAACAGTTCGTAACAGAGCAAAGCAATATTGCGTGACCTTCTTAACAACGAATCTAAATCTGAGGAAGTCGCACTTTTGAATCATGACGATCGGCAGCTGCGTCTGCTCTGCATACGAGCCAAAATGGCGGCGCCCACAACAATGCCGGGGAACGGAGTGCCGATACTCTAAGCGGAGCTCATTTAGTGACTCTAGCGGAACCCATGAGACCAGCTCGTGGAACCCAGTGTTTCCCGGAACCCAGTTCGAGAACCCCTGTTCTACGAAATACTTGTACTCAAAGAGTGAACCAACTGTATAAAATGGTCAACTACATATGTTAGTGCACATATGACCTGCATTAAACATGCCTCTATCTCTTGATCCACATCCTAAAATCAAAGCATCTGTGAAATTGCTCACTACTCAAAACCTCTCAAAAACAAATAAATACATTTTCTTTTCTTTTCTCAGGGGCAGCATATTTTGTGATCCAGCCATTGTATTCTTTCTTGGGGTTTAAGGAGGGGGACATTACCTAAAAATTGATCTTTTCTTTTTTAAAGTCACTTTTTTAGCGAGTAGTTTCATCAGCTAGTCGATCACCCGACAGACGTCGTCAGAAAGTTTTGCTCCCATAACTAATGTATTTTTTTCAAGGATAAATTATTTCTACCATGCCGGCACCATCTACAGTGAAGCTTTTTGAACTTTCAAGCATGCTTATCTCGGTTTGACAATTTTCCCTCAAAACTCAGTTCAGGAAAACTATAATTTAATAGTGATTTGATACGTGGCGCTAGTTTTTATTTGTGGGAGAGTGTCGCACCGAAAGGCACCTACACGAGGCCCCTAAGCACACATGAACTTTCTGACTAAAACCGAGAGGCCGAATGACCCCGTTCAACGCCCCCCAGAACCCAGGTTTGTACCCCTCACTTGTAATTGTTTTCTTATTAGGCGAAAGCCTTACTCATTCTATTACGCGAAAAGCCTTCGGCGTTGTCCCCGAAAAATGGTCATAAAACTATGTCTTCAAGCACGCATTATAAATAAAGCACAGCCACGCAAATGCTTTGTCATGGAAACCGTTGAGAAACCGGCAAGGTTCGCAGCGTCTACGCAGCGGGGAAGCGTGATGTCACCACCGGAGTGCCGTGTGCAAAAGTGCTTCATGTTGTCATTACCTCCTTCACTTTGTCCTGTCCTTCAGCGCTTCTATCCAGTCAAGAAACAACTAACCCAACCGAAACGTTTTGTTGCGAAAGACTACGAATACATTGTAAGAATATGCTACATGTAGGAATGCTTTCGCATTCCTACGCGTAAGCAGTCTTAAACGTCTTCGGCGAGTTCCTTTTTTTCACTCAGTGTCAGTTTCCGAGCATATTTTCCTTTCACTGTTTCGTTCAGCTTTCATGCAGCCCAACATTCTTTTCCTTTTACGTATTTTGTTGCCACTGTTTGTGCGTTTTCACGGATAAAGGACTTGCGAATGCATCAATACTTTTGTTGTAACTTTTCTTTACTTTCGGAATCCGCACCTGTGTAAGCAGGACCTCTTCCTTCTGCTTGATATGTTTTTAGGATGTTGAGAGTCAGATTAATTTCTTTCTTTTTTGAAGAATGTTTTTTTCCCAAACAACGCCTCTGTCTTATTCCTCAGTCCTCGCAGAGAGTTCGTCCATCAGGACCTATTGCCCAGTCGGCGGTCCTATCAAAATGTAAATGTGTTTCCATAGGAACTGGGTCTTTTTTTTTCTTTCTTTAATTACATATACTATCTTGAACCTCTGACAGATGCTCCAATTTCCCAAAGAATGCAACTCCAAACTTACTCTCTGCACTTTCATGCTCTTTTGGTATGTTGCAGTATCTTTAACCTAAAGCACGCAAAAAAAAAAAAAAACGAAGGAAACGTTGGTTTTGCATCGTTTTATTCCGTTGAAATTCGCGCTATTTCCGCAATTCACCTCCACAGCTGCCCGACCGGGGTATCATACTACCGTAAAATCCCGCTGAAGCGCCCACTCAAAATTTGGAGAATGTTACGAAACCTAGGGATGGGCGCTTCACCAAAAGAACCGGACATCATCGTTACTGTTTCTGAACGACTGCTTTCCTCGGGGAGTAACCCTTTGAAGGATCCATTTACTAACTTTAAACTTTGCGCGGCAACCTCTTCTACAGCGTTGAATTCCCTACACTCACCTCGACGTCCTCTGCTCAGCCAGCTCCAGCCCTGTCAGACGCTCCTGCAGTTCCCGGATGGTTCGCTGCTGCTCGCGCACCTTCGACTCCAGTCCGACACGCGCCTCCTTCTCCGCCATGTAGTCCGTCCGGAAGAGGTCAACCTTACGGCAAAGGTTCGCACGGGTAGGCGTCAAATATGCAAAAGCCACACGGATCCATTCCGCCAGGGCAAATGGCACTTGCAAAAAACTTCAGCAACGATGCCGACAAAGAAGCAACTGTTCCCAAAGAGACTCCCAAAGAAGAAAAAGCGTAAACATCCAGACCGACGGACTTCTGGAATTAAAGCTCGTTCGCACGCCACCGCAACTAATGTCTCGTTGCTCTTTGTCGATTTCACGAGAGTCAAATTACCACGACAACAAACTTTTCATGTGTTGGGAATGGCTGTCGGCGCGTATGGCTAACAAACGGTCGCACTTGTTTCACGCATGTTTCCGATTTGCTCTACCTTTGAAACGTCGCCGAGCTGTGCGCTCAGTCTGCCGAGCCTCCGTACGAGCACGTCCGGCCGTTGACACTACGAGGTTTCTCTGAAGTTTCTACGGGGTTTCTCGGAGCCAGCGCAAGAGCGTTAGAACACAAGTGACGACTAACGGTCACACGCAAACAACCACGAGAACAAGAAATTGAGCTGCTGGACGCCACAACATGTGCAAAGAACGGCAGGTAGAGATGCGCCTGCACGACGCCACGCGCACACCGATGGCACAGCCGTTGCTGCACGGTCCACGGAAGATACAATATATACCACACCCGCCTCCTTATAGACTTCCGAGATATTGGCCGGCAACGACGCGACGCCGGTAAGACCTCGCTGGGATCCAGGGAGCAGAAACGAGAAGGCGGTAAACGACCGAATGGCAACTGACCTGTGCCTGGAGGGGGGGCATGAGCTCGAGCTCCTGCCGGAGGCGCGTCCGCTCGTCCCTGAGCCCAGTAAGCTGGCGTTCGCGCTCGGCCAGCGCCACCAGCTTGTCTTGGACCTCCTTGCGGGCCTCTTCCAGCTGCCTGCGCAGTGCCCCGGGCCTGGCCTCCACTTGCACAAAGGTGTGCTGCGAGGGGCGCCACCGCTGCAGACGCGCGACAACAACACACGCCGAGCACCCCCACCAAATAAACCGATCTCAGCAGCCAGTTTGACTACACCACTGCTGCCGCAATGCATCGAGGGAACTTTAATCTTTCTGCACGTGCGACAATCTTGCTGGAGCTCTGCACGTGCAGGTCACGAGACGGCACAAGCCCTGTCGCGCAGCACTTTTTTAGACTATTCCACACCATCTTGCATAGAAAGGTTGCAGTAATGCCGGATGCGTGAAGACATGGAGGGACCGCGACTTCTTCTCTCCCCAATGAACTTTGCGAGCGTTCTTTTGAACTTGGTGTATGCACCAGTCTTGAGAAGGTTCATATTTATTTTAATTATTGTTTTTTTTATTCTCGGTGAGTTTAATATAAAGACATCGACCTATACTCGTGGTAGACTTATATTAAAATAAATACGGTATCTATATTTATGAACCGTAGCCTCAGAAAGTACAATGCCTACATGGGGATAATGAGGAAATGACAGATTTGACATACAACTAATCCCAGAGATGCCCATCTATACCTAATCATCGACATTTATAAATCTTCCCGCTATGTGCAAATATCCTTTCTTAAACCCAGAATTAAAAAAAAAAAAAAGAAAAATTGATATTTGTAGGATGATTGCAGGTTGTCACGACATCTCTGTCTAACATATACTCTCGCATGACAGCCAGTTTAATATTGAAAATTTCACTGTAGGGTGTAGATATCAAACACTCAAAAAATTTTCGTTTCTCTTTTAAATAAACCAGGTACGCAAGTGCATCATCATCCCACTCTCAAAAGTGTGCTTTTCTCCTGAGCGTGCGACTGCAATATTTGTACAGAACGCGACACTGTTAGCACAAACAAGCGATCGCCAGTTTTCTGTGTTTTTCTGGTAGAACCGAAAAGTTGTCATCAAGGATATTATTGTTATAGAAAGAGCTCATTTAAGGCTATAATTAAGGAATAGAAGTGTGTGCCCACTAATACTCTTTCCTAATAAAATGCGAAAAGGCGCCAATGTCGTGTTCGCGCTAACAGTGTAGCGATGCATACTTTTCGAAGTGATGATTGCAACGAGTTAGGCTTACTGAGCGTGCTTCTTGCCGAGCACCGGTGCACCGCAGAAAAGCAACACCCTCAAAAGATTTTTATTTCGAAACAAATACGAAGTGAATAGTGGATCTGTGCAAATACATTCGAACTGAAGCGAACAATTTTGAAACGAAGAGAATATTTTTCATAAAGCTGATACTTTGTGATCACCACTACGAAATCAGACAAAATGGCTTTTACTATAGATCTTGAATGATACAACCTGGAAAAAAAAAAAAAGGTTGGCTACAGGAGACTTCCTCAATGAGCTTTTCCAGGTCATCAGGAGAACAACGGACAACAGATTTAATGTGGACTTGTTGCTCGTAAATTCGCTGACACCTTGGGACCATAGAAGCATGCTTGCAAGATTCAAAATCAATTAATACCTAAAAATAAAAGTACCAAAATTACGTAAAGTTAGAGGGAAAATAACCAATATATATATGTGAGCTAAAACTTGATGCAAATCTGTCGCAGTATTCAGATATTACCAGTCAGCTCCATTTAGAAAAACCCTCATCATTGCTATGATACAAAAAATTAGAGGTTTACAAATCCCTGTAATGCGAATTAGAGCGCAGCTCTTGAGGAGGAGGAGGGAAGGGTACAGAGGGGAACTTAACAGAAAATCGTGGGACAATTTCCCGGTAAATTATCCCGCTAAATTTAGCGAGGAAATTTCCCCACTAAATTTGGTGGAAAAATTTCCCCGCTAAGATTAGCAGGAAAATTTCACCGCTGAATTTAGCGAGAAAAATTAGCAGAGGAATTTTCCCCTAAATTTAGCGGAAAACAATTAGCGCTAAATTTGGCGAAAGAATTTCCCTGCTACATTTAGCGAAAACATTTCCCACTATATTTAGCGAAAATATTTTCCCGCTATATTTAGCGAGAAAATATTCCACTAAATTTAACGGGGAAATTTCTCGCTAAATGTAGCGAGAAAATTTCCCTGCTATATTTAAAGGAAATATTTCCCACCAAATTTAGGTGCCATGTGATGCCACCCTAGTGATGCCACTTGTGACATCAGTCATGACCCTTGTGACGTCACACGTGACCCTCGTGAAGTCACACGTGACGTCACTCGTGACTGACACGGGGGCCACGGGTCATTATAGAAAACGACCCATAATGCAACGTGCAGTTACGCCGACGGCGACGCCACTCAAGCCGAAAACTGGTGCCTAAAAGCTGCGCTCTAAAAAGCCAGTCTCCTTTTGAAAGTTTCACATACAATTACCACATCAACAACTGTGCCTCCATGCCAGAACAATCACGCTGCGCCTGGCGCATCAAGCTTCACTGCTTTGCACCTACGCGCTCGCAAAAAGCTTCGCCGCTTCGACTGGCATGCTCAAGTCAAGCTTCATCGCTTTACACCGGCGCATTGCGGTGTGAAGCCTCTTAATCTTTTTTGGAGGGATTCGACCTTTCGCAGATTTATTTTCAAACTTCGAAATGCTACGAAAATATTCAATGTAGCTGAGTAGCCCTATTTGAATCGAAGTAAGAAGCAAACATGGCATTATTTACTTGAAAGCACTAAATATCAGTGCTTTCAAACATAATCTGATTACTTTCTAACGAATGTACTACAATGATTACAAAATTGCTCCAAAAAAGTACTCGATCACGAGTAATTCAATTACTCGCCACGGGTAATTGCGGAGAGACGAGAAGAACTGCCGACTCACCTCGCCACTCTCGTTGGAGCTCTCAAACTCCTGCCAAGTCCTGAGTAGTTCCGCGTAGTCCGTCTTGGCCTTTTCGTGCCTCTGCTCGGCCTTGAGCAACGCCTGCCTGCAATGCCACGTACCGACTCGCGTCACCTAGTGTCCCGGAAGTTCCAATATCCGAAGTTCTACGCAATGGCAATAACGCGGGTTCGTATGGCCGCAGACCCGGAAACGGCATTTCTACTCGTCACCGCGTGCTCTTGGGCGTCGTACCTTAAATACCGAGGTTCGAGAACAGAAAAAAGGGACATGCAATACTGCAGGTTCGCAATCGATTAGATAGAACGGTAGAAGAGTGACCGGTGAAAAATACTTCGTCTGTCCTTCGCTTACTATATCTGATATGTTTCGAAGACAGGGGTGGACACTCGCTGCGACACGGGCGCACGCTTCGCATTTTACGGTAGACGGGAAACGGTGCACACAAACCTAAACGCCACATTTAGTGTCGCAAGCGGATATTACCCATTTCCCGCACCATTTTCAAGCAGATATTACCCATTTCCCGCACTATTTTAGACCGGATATTACCCATTTCCCCGCACTATTTTCTAGGAAAACTGAAGGCAACTAAAGGACTTCGCCACGTTTTATGACTGCAGGCAGAATCAGCAAGCAACACGTTTTGCCAAGAAACACTCGGCCATATGTCCTTTTCAAAAAAAGAAAAAGAGACAGGCGCTTTGAAAAACTAGAGTCTGCGTCGGCCTCTTTTTCGCTTGTAGAAAGATTCCACGCGAATCGCTTGACTGAGGCCACAGAGAAAAGACCGTTCTCTGCCGACAGAGAGCCGCCGGGGCCATGGGTGCAGCTGAGCTAAGGCGCTTCTCGAAGCTACACTCGCTACGTCCCACTTGACCACACCTCCTGCACCGGCTGCACCACATACACACCGCTCTCGACCGACGAGCTCAGCCCCAGGCAACGCGTTGCTTTGGCTCAAAGTTTGCTTTTTGTCTGGAACCTTAAGAAGTCCAAAGAAGCCAAGGCAGAGCCAAACGTGCCCTTCTCCGTCTGGCCAGACTCTGCGTATCTCGGCCCTAGATCGCCAAACAAATGCCAAAGTTAGGCTTCACTTCCTATGTTTGGGCATTTTCGTGTGACAACTTTGGGCCTAAATTGTCGAACAAGTGCCAGATTTAGGCTTCACTGCCAGTAGTCTGGCTGTCGTCTAGCATCATTGGCTCACGTCTGGCACTCTGGCAATTATGTGGTGAGCCAGACAAGAGCCATAGAAATGAAAAAAAGAAAAGAGCTCTGGCACCAAGGCCTTGGAGCAAGACCATATTAGGTTCAAGTTGTGACCCCCGGGTTGCCAAGCTTTTGTCGAGTCTAGCGCTTCTTTGGAATGCCATTCAAGGCCTATCCAAAAAAGCATACCGGAACTGCCCCGCACACTTCTCCTTCGGTGTGGACTGCTGCAACTGAACCAAATGAGCCGGCTTCAGCGGAGCTGCAGGCCTCCACGGTAAGACCCTCAAGTTTTCTGAGGCGTCACGGCTCTCTCGTGTCAGAATAAATATTACTAAGTCGGAGAACCGCACCCCAATGGCCCTCTCCCGCCTACACATTTTGAGTGCGTCGCCACGGCAGTTTAAGTCCCCTTTCTACCGTTGAGGGGGCATAGCCGCCGGTGCTCCCGTAAAATCCCAGACTTTTGGCCGACAGATATTTAGCCAGACATGCGGGATGGAAAACCTTTAGGCGGCGGAAGTCAACCTGGATTTTACGGCTTGTACGTCGTGCCCATCTTGCCAGTTCCGAATGCTGTCAACTCGGCCTCGGACGCATCGATACGCCAGCAGGTCCGCGAGAGTGCTACCAAGGAACATCCACTGCCTACCAAAAATTTTAAATTCGCTCCGATGGGACGTTTGAGCACGTTAGAAAAGTTCAGCCTTTCCACTCTCGTGAAGAAGGAAGACCAGCGGAGCTGTACTCGATACACTGCCGCAATGATCACGCGCCCGATTCCCGCTTCTTCGTGTCCAACACGCCGCCGATCGTGGAGAGGTGTCCGGTGTCCGGCGAACCAGAGTCAGTCGCACACGGCGCACGTGACGCCAAACGGGTTCTCCACGAACTCCCTCCGGAACCTCGCTGTCGCACCCGGGAACTGTTCAGCCGGCATGGAGTGCACTTGTTGCCGGGACTCGCGCTTGGCCTCCTTGGCACGATCGTTGTCCGTGGCGTTGGCCCGCCGGCGCCCTTTAGATCGCTGGCTCTGTTCTCGGTGGCGGCTTTCCAGGCGAGCGATGTGCTCTTTGGCAGGGGAATCTGAAGCGCTGGACCAGCGGAAGTCGAGGCGACAGCGGCTTTGCAGCGGCTGCGGACCCATTCGCGCTGCTGCGTACGTCGCCACTCCTTCCGCTGCCCGTATCCTTTCCCCATAGGGCGCGCGGCCAACCCATCGTGAATCCAAACCGAAACTGATATGAGCGTAGGAACGTAGGAAACAGCGCGCAAAACAAACAAGGACGAAGAAACAAACGTGACGTGCGCTGCGCTCGCCACATGTGCTTCTCTTCGTCGTCATCTGTTTTTCGCGCTGTTTCCTACAATGAATCCCCACCAACGCGCCCAACTATCAATTCTTCTATGATAGTTGGAAAGGTTGCCGCAGTCTACGAGCGACGGCGGAAACCATACTGGTTGTGTGCTTGCCGCCGTCGCTTATAGATGGCGGTAGCTGTACAGGTACATTTGTGTCAACATACCGGACACGATCCTGGGGAACCTAGCCCTTAACAGCTCTGCCGTAAAATTTCAAACGAGCGCTTCTAAAACCTTCCACCTCTAAAGCCCCTAAAGTTTCCCAAAGCTCGCAAACTTTCCCCACAGGCCTCCCGTTACGAGAGTCAGGCAAGTGGCTCCCGTCGTCAATTGGGGGCTCTTCGAATCTCTAGAAGAACGTCAATCGCTCTCGGTCGAACGCCGAGGAACTAATCTCGGCAAGCTACGAGAAACCTCGTAAACAGTAACAGGGGTGGAAGCGGGCTAGAGGCTTTTGTAGCAGGGCTGGGAGCAGCAAAAGTCTCACTTTGGAGCAGTAAAAGGCTCGCTTTAGAGCAGCTCGGGAGCAGCAAAGTAAGTTTTGTAGCCGTAGAAGTAGGTTTTGGAGCAGGTCACGGAGGTCAAACAGGTGTCTAAAAGTGAGTTGTTGTTGCTAAATGTGAAAATGTAGCAAAAATATATGCATGCACATCCCAGAATAATTTTCAAGCAACATACATACATACCTTTCTATTTCTATTGCATTGAAATATGGAATATTGGTAATTTAGGCAAAGGAAAGGCTTTGAGAACCATTCCGGCAGCAGTCAGAGTCATGATAGACTTTATATGGGAGGCCCGACAATAAAAGCACAACTTGAGCCACGCCAGTACAAAACCGTCTATTTAATAGACCAATTGTAAACATGTATCCAGAAAACTAAACCACTGCAAGATATCAGATAAACTACCTTCGCTGACTACAGTTTTTGTTTAATAAAGAATACACATGTTCAATCACTGCTTAAAAAGCCCCATATCAAGTTTAGTAACAAAATACAAGGCTACTGACATTTGACGAAAATTCAGATGCAAAATTAAATGTGTATTTTATATCTTTAGAATACCACAGTCACTCGTACATATGCAGCTTTAAGCATCGACTAGAAGAGCATTGCAACCTTATGTACTCCATAAAATGTTGTGCATTGCGTGTCTCCATAAAAACAAAAATTAAGGTACCACAACATGTTTCAAAATAAAGCAGTCCTTACTGACCTGTTTTGATTAAAATACAAATGTTCTTAATCCCTGTTCATAAAATACAGTAATCTCTACACCCAACTTAACATACAAAGCTATATCTATAATACTTTAGATGGAAAAACATATTGTCTTAAAAATATCACAGCCACTAATACATATGCAGCATAAACATTGACTAGAAGAGCCCACAGGCTTCCATGTTCAAAAAAAAAAAGGGTTGTGACTAAGCTGAATCTATGTACATTAGAAACAACTGAGGTTTACCTTTTTTTACAGTTTGAAGAGCAGAGTCAATTTCTTTTATGCGCTCGAGTACTTTGGGCAGTTTAGAGTTCACATCACTTAGCAGGAGGTGTCCACTCCCCACCTTGTCGATGTTCTTAACTGCCACACCCTTGCTTATGAGTTCTTGTGCACTCAGTAGACGTGCTTTGAGAGAAGACAGTTTGAACGAGACTGAAAATGAGATGTAGCTGATCAGGCGCTGATCCCTGCGGGGCAGGCTGCCTTCTTACGTGACAAAAAGCCCACCAGCTTCTCTCTACCCTACCCTACCCAACCCCAACCCAACCCCCCCCCCCCCCCCCCCCCCCCCCCCAAACCAGATACACCTATACCCGAAACTTGTACGAGTAGAGTGGCTATCGCAAGTTAAGGTGGGTTCACGACAGGAATCGGCAGTGCAGGAGCGTTGCACGGCATTTCTGATGTAACCCCCACTCCTCCACGCTAAAGGAAAGAAACAAAAAAGTGGGTAGCACTGCCAATTAACCAACATTGTTTTCGCCAGTGGTCTGACGCCGGGAGACATTACACGACAGCGTACACATTCGCGCACAGAATGATGGTTTTGGTTTCGTTTTGACAAGACAAATTGAGCTCGAGAACGGATGTGCCTGTGCTCGCGATTCTTGACGGCTAAGCGTCCAAATATGGTAGGCTACCAAATAACAGGTAAAACTAGTAAAGACCGTTTATTTTTCCTCATGTTGACGCGTGTGCATGCGCTCGCAAAGAAAAACAAACAAAACTAACGTAGCGCGTGTTTCTTAACTGCGTTCGCAAAGAAAAATAAAACGTAACTAACATAGTACGTGTTTCTTAACGGCTAAGCGTCAAAATATGGTGGGTCCATATCACATGAGCGAATGACATTTTAGCAAACAGCGACATTTGAGCGAATCGACGTTTTAGCGAATAACGGGGGCGCGTGTTAACCCATCCGCCGCGCTGCGCTTATGCCGCTTCGCGGCGACAGTATGTGGCGGCTCATTACAAAAATGTGAGCCCATTTAACCCGCCCGAAAACGCCGCTTCGCGGCGTCCGACTATTCGCTAAAGTGTCATTCGGTGAAACGTGGGCGTTCGCCAAAACGTCATTCGATCAAGTGAGTGCTTCCCCCCACCGGTGCCAAGGCACCAACTCCCACGATCACGGCAAATCGGAACCACGGGCAACTGCATGCGCGCTCAACCGCGCCAACCAACTATGCCCGAAACCAAACCAATGTGTTCGTATATCAAGCTCTTTGTAGTCAAGATCGAAATCTCACTCTCGATGAACTAAAATCGACGCCTCGCCCTGCGGTTACACGTGGTTCGGAGCCCTAGTCGAGTTGGTACGAGTCACCCGCACTGACGCCTAAACAAAAGTACACACCATATGGCGGCCAGTGGCCGACCGTTTTCCACTAAATTTAGAGAAAACGCACACACAAAAAAAAAAAAGCTGAAATCGGCGTTTTGGAGCAGGCTGGCGCAGGGAAGTGAATTGGCGCAGGGTGGCGCAATTGGCGCAGCGCTTCCACCCCTGCAGTAATCAACCGGGAGGGTCTGGAACGTAGTTGCACATTAACGCGTGGCTCAGATTTTCTAAAGTAAACTAGAAGAACACTTAGTTATGGAAGGAAACCCCTCAAGGTACTCTGGGGAGCTCAGTTTGCAAATCCATCTTTTAAAAGAGAGACCGCCACCCGGCAAAGGTTGCCCAGTGGCGGATTTAAGGCGGAGACCACCGGCTCCCGAGGGCAAACTCTTTTTATGAACACATATTACATTTTGTTTAGGAAAGGCACGCCCGGTTCTCGGTGAAATGTCAATTACCTTTGTCCATGATGTCAGTCTGTGTCGTTAAGTCGCTTTGCAGAGCATCCCGGCATAAACTTAATACGACGATCTAGAGGGAAAGGCCTGACACTTTGGGCACTTCGAAATGGCGGTGCACAGACGCAAACATTGGCAGTCGGAGCAGGCGGTTCCGACGAGCCCGCGTCGCCGGCGAAGCCTAAATGTTTATGAAGAAGCGAAAAACATTGCCCGCACACGACCGACTCAAACTCGTTGTGGCAAAGCGAACATGCCCAACCGATCGTCGGCTTTTCTTTATCCCCGTCTTCCGTTGCCCTTCTCGATCTTTCTGCCGAGACCACCGACGTCAGCTCTTGGGATCTGCCACATTTCGCAACTGTTTTCACCGCCGAGCACGACCCACGGATCCGGCTCTCACCTGAGTTCGTCGACCTCCGAGGCTCGCTGGACGGACTGCTCCTGCAGGGCGCGCACCACGGCGTCCTTCTCCAACAGGGCTGCCTCCAGCTGCGCCAGCCTGAAACGCCCACAGTGAGCAGACACACCACCCAGGCTGTTCAGGTGTCCCCCTCATGTAAACCCAAGGTGCATTAGAAATATCCCCGAGCGAGACATTGGGACGGCAATCTACCGCATTAAAAAGTGCGGAAGCCACAATGACGCAAAAAAAGTGAACTGCACCGACTTTTAACTAAATTTTATTAGCGCTGACGTTGCATATAAATACTACCCGAGTCACCCCAACAATCGGGGGAAAATACGCACACAAAAGGTCACACACTTGTAGAGTCACTGGTGTGTGGCGGCCTTATCCGATTTATAAAGCGGTACTCTCTATACGACGGAGATAGCGAAGGGGCACCTACACATACTGGCCCTAGATGCCAGAGCTCGCGGGCTTCTTTAAGGGAGGAACACTAACCGAAAGAGGGAACTTCTAAACCGCTTTGCAGATTTCAATGAAATTTACACGGTGCATTTATATTCGTGCTCAGAATATTTGCACCGTATTTTCACAGACCTGGGTTCGTTATAGTATACGGATTTGCAAATGTTAGAGCAGTGGTTTTCAACCATCTATGTTTCACGGACCCCTTGTGGATCAGCGGAGGTGATAGAGGACCCCTGCAAGATTGCAAAAGCACTATTCTTTCGGAACATTAACACGCAAAACAACTGTGTCCCACATTCCTAGATAGGACTCCTGCACTGTCTTTGTGCGTAAGATTCTCACATAAATAATTACGTAGAAATCTTGCCTAGTGTTTTCGCAAAAATTCCTGCGCAGAATTTGTACGTTGAATTCCCGTGTAACATTCTCGCACCAGAGCCTCGGACGAATTCCCCCAGTCTTTCAGTGAACCTGGATAACACCAAGGGGAAAGACGTCGCAACCCGTTGGACGACAGATTTGAGACCCGTGAAGACACAATCTGAAAACTCCGAACGTTAGATTGGCCAGATCAAACAAAGAACACAAGTGGCGCAAGAAGCTCTTTAGGACGACTCAAAACGGCAGCCAACGGTTTGCCAAGAAGTGCTTCAGGGGGGCCTTTAAAGATCCCCAGAGGGTTACATCGAACGTTTCTTATGAGTAAAAAAACATTGTTCACTCATTTCCCCGCTTAATTCGGCCAGGAAAATTGATGGTCCGACAGTCTCGCGCAACGCCACAATCCGACGCCGCAACACGACGTCGGGTCCCTTGGCGCCACGAGACCCGGTCACGCGACGCGTCGTCACTGTGTTGAGTCTCAAAGTTGCGCGATGCCGCGACGTCCTGCCACATCGATTTGCTTCGCTAAATTTGCTTTGCTAATCCGTCTGCGAGAAGTTTTGTGAGAAGTGTACCTGGCCGTCTCGTGGTAGGCAACCTCAGCCTTCCTGGCTTCGACTTGGCTCAGCTTCTCTTTGAGACGGGTCGTCTGCTCGGAGCTCTCCTTCACGTGCTGGTTCAGCTTCAGCAGCTGCAGGGCCAACCACACCAAACTCAAAACCGGCTACTTACGAGCGAAAACCGCCCTCTCTCGGCACCAAGCTGGACGGCCCAAGAATCCTAATTACGCCGCCTGAAGAGGGTCTCTTTAACTGGTGCACTTAACGCCTCGACTGTACGCGCAATGGAGCGTTTGTGAAACAATAAAACAAATATGTCATAGGAGCCGTTCTGTAGAGTCAAAGCCTGATGTGACCGACTTTGACGAAACGAAATTCACAATTTAACGAAGTGTCGTGCTTTCATCATTTTTTTTCCCCAGAGAACCCTATGTAGTTTAATGAGGTATAAGATATGCAGTTAAAGCTTGATATAACAGAGTCCGACTTGGAGTCTGAGATCTCATTAAATCGCGAGTTTCGTTAAAAGGAGGTTTCTACTTTTAGAAGAATACTCTCCTGGGTTCCCAAAAACCCCCTTACTGCCTCGCTTAACATAAAACAGACAAACAGTCTCTCCAACCTCCGCATCGAGTACGGCGCAATCGACTTACAACGATGACGAGAAAACCCGAAAATTCCATCGTCGTAACCGATTATCGTCGTATCTGGACTAGAAGCTGGGCGTTTCTAGTCTCGAAACTCTAGAAACTGGTCGTCACAAGCGGAACACCCTTATATCTAATATTGTTACAAGTGGATTGCACTGTAGAACCAATTGAAGCAACGGTACAACACCGCCGCCGTACCAAAGCCGTAAGTCCTTCTCACGAGAAGACGGCGGGAGGCACGGACGGGCGCTCACGGCCACTCCACGCCCTGCCTTCCTTGAATTCGGCGCTCACGGCTTTGTTACGAGGAAGCTGTTAGGCGGGAGGACTGCAGGGACGGCGCGAGACTCACTTCCTGGCTGAGGTACCGAATCTGCTCCGACTGGTGCGCAGTCTTGGTCTGCTCCTGGTGGAGTTGAACCAGCACGTCGGAGACACTCTGCAATCGCAACGAGGGAACCCGTGAGCGAGCGAAGCCAGAGTCGGCGGGCGAAGGATTGCCGTGGTCGAGAAAGGTTGGAGCTTAGTTTTTCGGTGCAGATTTAAGCGCGACGTTTCGATACGTTCCCTTGGGAGATACAAGACTAGAATTCCCTCCAAGATGACAAAGGCGATGTCTCCTTAATGTGGATACCTCCGTTTTACCAATGATCGTCCACAATGCAAGTTGTCCGTAATGACGAGGCAGAAAATTACGGCAGGACGCTTAAACTTCGCCTTTAAGAGAGGAACAAAATAGCTAAATATAAACTCCCAATCGTTCGCAAGCTGTGCAAGCGTGTCTGGCTCACAACCGAAGAGACGTGGGTTTGAATCCCGCATCCACCTAAAATTTTCTGAATTTTTTCTTTAAGGGGGGACACTACACAAAAAAAAAATATATATATATCTTTGCAAAAAAAAAAAAAAATTTCTGAATTTTTTTTTTAAAGAGGCACTGACACATCAAAATCATATTTTTTTTTATTATCCGAAACGATTGAAAACGATGCCGGGACATTACCCTCAAAATTTGAAATTTGGGAATTCAGTATTTGTGAAGTAAAAAAACTATTTCCAAATGCCGAATTCGAAGTTCCCGCGCGATTGGCGCCGGTGCCTTGACGGCAAATATTGCGGAGTCCTGAGAGTCCACTTTCTTTCACCACTCCCTGCTGTTGCCATGGTGACCCAAAGCGAGGAGGAAAGGAGCGAGCGACGGCGTTGCGGCGGACCGGTTTTGAGCGGTGTCGCCTGTTTTCCGTTGGAGGATACAAATCCAGGAGACGGCACCACAACAAACTCCCGTGTCTATGACTGCAACTTGCATTGTTTTAGACAATAAAAATAAATACGACCTTTGGGGTGTCAGTGCCCCTTTAAGGGGGGACACTACCCAGAAAAAAATAATCTTTGCAAAAAAAGTGGATATTTAAAAATGTTCTATTTACATCGATCAACATCTAGAGAGTACTATTCTCAGGAAGTTTCATTAGTTTACACTCTATGGCTACTTTTTTATAACTTATTTTCCGTCCACCGACGCTAAAGAAAAGGTAGAGGTTCGAGCTCTTTGAACACGTTTTTCTCCGTTCCCCTTTTTTGCATAAATTTCACCTTGAATTAACTTTTACGAGTTTTTGTGGGTTCAAATTTTAATGGGAAGATAGCTGTGAGCTTGCATTTTTAATTTTTGTAGTTTTTCGTGTTCAAGGACTAAAATTTTGGACAAAGGATGAACATCTAAAAAACAGTATTTGTGTTTATTTGTCATGAAAGATGGTATAATACAGAAGTATAGCTCCATAGCTATCTGCTCTGAACTGTCCTAAAGCAATATAACACATGAAAACAAATTTATAACTAATTTCAAAACAAGTTTTCCTAGGCAGACATGCCGACTTTCATCTTTAAACGTTTGCAATGTTTTTTGTACTTCACCCAGGTAAACAAAATTTGGCGGAAATGTTTTAACATCAACGGTAACAAGCCATGTAAATGTCATTTAAATCAGACAAGTGGTTCAAACATTCACTCTTTTGGGTAGTGTAAGCTAATGAAACTTAAGCGGTGCCAACAACTGTGACCGAAAATCAGTAGAAAAAAAAAAGACAATGCACGTGTGTGGACAATTTCGTACGGTAGTGCCTCACGACCCAGGCACGACTTCATCCCTGCCACCCAAATATCTACAAAATGAAACAATAAAAAAGAAACGGCCTACCATCTGAGATCCGGCATTTGGCACAAGACCGGGAACAGGTTCGCAGGAGACCAGAAATTCCTGCGGGCAAAAATGTGCCAAAAAGGAAAAGGTGGGTCACTGATGAATGGAGCTTTTCAGATGCCGTAACGAGATGAAGCTGTCAATGACAGCTTTTTCGCCCGGGGACCCCCAACATTGTGTTGGAAATAAAAATTGAATTGAATGCTCGGGCCTCTTGCATGTGGCTCTTCCAGGGATGCCGAAGGAGATTTAAACAATCCGTAACGAACATGGCTTACGATTGCGACGAGGCCGAGGAAACTAGCATACTTTACCAGGAATTGCTAAACGTATGCCTTTGTGTACAAAGGTGGAAAACCAGCTCTAAAAATGAAAGAGGACCAAAATGTTAGCATCCTTGTACCGTCTGTCGAAACACCAGAAAGACCATTACCGTGGAGACGGGGTCCCATTGCAGACGAGCAATTGCGCGTATGTTCTCGGACGCGGCGTTCACGCGCACCAACCTGGGACCTTTGACTTGGAGTGGGGCTCTCGGGTTCGGAGCCACGGCGTTCCCGGGCCAACAGCTCCTCCTGGGCCCTCACCTGGTTGGAAGGATACAAATCGTACACTTTCAACCAGACCTTTCCCACAAACACGAAAACCCTAATGCCCCCCCCTCCCCCCCTTCCCGACTCTTTTCTTATCGTCGGGGTTCATTTCTGAGGAATGGACAGAACATGTTTTTTTATTTTAACAATTAATCAGTATATGGCTCATCACGGCACATCAAAATGTTCCAAAAAAGCTCTATCGTATAAGAAAAAATTATGTAGCAATAACATATAAAGGAGTTTTCTAAATTTAATCGCTGAATTCGGAAGTTATCCAAAAATTAGAACAAAAAGTCATATGCAGCTACGTACTGTCGTGACCGCTTGTAACGAAGTCGGTTATAATGAGATTGTGGCTATACAGAAGCGATCACAATTTCCGTTTTGACTCTTCTTACACTACATCCGCGGGAGCTGCTCAATTTTCATCGCTTAAAACGGACGTAAATACGTTAAGTATTTACGTCCGTTTTTAGCGATGAAAAGTGAGCAGCTCCCGCGGATGTAGCGAAGAGAAATTTAACGATAATTTGAAAGACCAATCAAATTTGGAAAGTGTTCCCAGTCGCAAACCACCGCGGCCGAGCAGACACCCAGAACGGGATGCAGACGCGCCGCAAAGGTTGACGGCAACAGCCTCTGCGTCGTCGTCCGCTCTCCGAACCTCGTCCAAAGAATTGCCTTTTCCGCATCGTTCGCGGAGAAGCCGTCACGGCTTGCCGAGAAACAGTAGTGGCGCGTTCGGAACGTCGGCAACGACGGAGATAGCCTAGATTTAAGAGAGAGAGCACCCTTCCAACTCTGGTGGGAGAATATTTTTTTTAACGCTTTCGAGAATTTGATTTAGAGGACGAGAGCTTAGCATCCGATGGAGAAGCTCCTCCGAAACAACTTGCAAGCACCGTATGTGCTCCCGCTAGATAATTAAACAAAAACCTGCACATCGACCCTTTCTTTATGCCATTCCTTCAAAAACACACCGCCCCAACGAAAAACATTTGGGGGAAAAAACTTCGAGTGATTGTAAAAGCGTTAAAAAGCGAACAAAGTGAAAATCTGCGGGCGAGTTGGTGAATAAACTCCATCATGAAAAACCCAAGACTGGACATAAATAAAATAACGAACAAACGCACACTTTGAGACTGCGTGTGCTTGTCCGTTATTTTATTTATTCTCAGTCTCGATCTACTAAAAATGGGCTTAAAAAGTTATATCGCGTTTTAGAAAAACGACTTGCTAGTTGGTGCTGTATCTGCATATTCCTACTGCATGTTTCCTCGTTTTCATCGCACCACTTTATAAGGTGTTTTCACCGACATCATTATACCCATCATTTTGTTGATTCGAGTTGTCTGGTCTATGCTGAAGGCAAGTATTTCAAGGACTCATCAGCCACCATCGAACCCCTAACAACAAAATGGCGGGTTTACGTCACGTGAAAACCCAACTTTTGAGCGACAACTCGCACCTTTTCCTGCAGCTGGGTGCAGCGTTGCTCGGCCTCCTTGAGCTGCTGCTTCAGGCCTGCCGTCTGCTCAGCAAGGTCCCTCCCCAGAGCCTCGCTGCGTTCCTCGGACTCCTTCAGCCGCTGCCCGAGCCGGGCTGCCTGGGCGGCCAGGGCCTCCTTCTCCCCCTGCAGCCTCTCCAGGGCCTGGCGGTGCTGCTCGTGGGCCCGGCTCAACTGCTCTTTCCAGTCCACAAAGGTCTCATACTGCTCCCTCAGCTTCTGCGAGTTCTGGACCAGCACATCTGCGGGTGCGTCCGGCACAGTTGCTCCATGAGCTACACTCCGCGTTGCCAAATTAGCAGTTGGAGTTCCCCCAACGTAAGACCCTTTCCGAGATACGGATATATCTAATTCAAAGGGGAGCGTAAAATAGTTTGATGTGTCAATAATTTGATATACAAAAATATGTTAACTTAAGCTCCAGTTCAAATTTCTGCAACGTCCCAATAGCGGGCACCCCCCGCCCTCTGTATGCGCGCTGCGCGTGCCCTTCCCCTTGCAATCGCCATACTACTTTTTTTTAGAGCTGCTTTTTTCTTTTTTAGGTTCGCTATATCGAGTGTACCCGCCATGGGAGATTATGGTTGTTCGATACAGAAAAACAACGCTCCTATACTATTACATGTGATTTTCGAGAGGATGTTTCAACTGATCGATATAAACAATAATTCGAAATACCCGGGTGTGATATGGCCGGGCTCGACTGTAGAGTATGTTTAACCCTCCGATTAGCCGACCCCCAGCTTAGCAGATGCAACAACCCATCATGAGAGCGTCTCGCCCCTCGTCAGGGAAACTGAGCACGGCAATCCATGGAGGTGCTGTGGGACCAACGACGCAAAGACCCTCCATGAAGTCTGGCGAATCAGGGCTTTGAACGACACTTCTGGAAAGGAGCCGAACAACCTCGATGTCGTCGACGCGCACGACACGTCGGCACTCGTGGACACCGGACTTCTCTCTTACTAGTGGGAAGCTCTCACACCACCTTCGAAAAATTACCGTGCCGTGGGTTGGTCCACGACTGCCGGGGAAAACCTGATTATGCCCGCTGGAACCTTTACCGAGGGAGTCGAGATCCACGGCGAGATCTGCCCCAGGGAATTTGTCGTACTACAAAGAGACCTTGCAAGAGACATTCTCAGACTGGACTTTCTGCGCAAATACGACGTAGTCGTCAGCCTTGAAGTGAATTGTTCGACGCCGCGAAAACCCGTCCTTGCTTTGGAGGGACCCAGAACGACACCAGCCGCTGTCCGAATTGTCGCCGACCACCTGAACTTGCCGCCACGATCGAGTTGTTTTGTTGTTCGGACAACCCCGCGGTCTACCGTGAACGGTCGTGAGATTTAGCTTTCCGTTACTTTGTTTAAAACTGCATCTGAACGGTGGGCTTTTTTTCGGGGAGTGAGTAATTTCGAGTGTTTGGCCGAGGAGGAATGCTTCTCCGCACTTCCAGAAGGATTGCGTCTACTCTTACCTCGAGTGTGAAAGAGGAGGTCTTTGAGACCTTGCCGAGTCAACCCCGCGTGCCGTCTCTTGCGGCATTTCGCAACCGTGCGCAAATCATACACTAACTTTTCTCACAAAAACAGCCGTTTATAGGGAATGCAACTTGTAAACCGGCAAGGCCGATTCAATGTTCGAGTTTGAATCGAAGAAAGCGCGACGTGCCCACTCGCAACAGCTTACGACGAGGGAACAAACTGGAACCATCGGGTGGCCACTCGCAATGAGCGTAGAGCTAGACTTGCCCTTGAGTTCCCTGTTCTCCCGCAGCAGGTCCCGGACGCACTGCTCCGCCTCGTCCAGCGAGATGTCGCCGGAGGGCAGAGACAGCTGCAGCTGTGCCAGGGCCGGGTTCTCCACCACCAGGAGGCTCTCCTCCTGGGGCGACTTCGACAGCACCACAAAGTCCGACATCAGGTCGTCCCCGCTGTCTGAGTGCGACGCCGGGGCTGCCGAGATGGCCGTCGCCGCTTCCGTGGACATTCTGCTGAAGACACCGGTCGCCGGGCCTTTATCGATACTCTTTGCCTTTTTCACAACAGGAATGTAAGGAAGGCCAGTAACACATTTGACATTTTTATACACAGACACACACACAAAAAAAAGCTCAATTACACAGGTACAACTTGTAACATTGGAAACACTTCCTAAAAATGTTAGAGGAAAAAAAGTTAAATAAATGTTTGTGAGACAGTTAAAGCTAAGGTACAGTGCGCTGCATGCGCTTATCAGTTTGTGTTGAGCCCCGAGTGAGCGTCCTCCCCTCGAAGCAGAATGGAATTGGCCGGAGCGCTCGCAGCGCACCCGCCTCGGCCAAGCGCTCCCATTGGGTCTTTCATATTGCAGCGCACTGTACAATGCAAGTTTACCTTTCCACGACGTCAAGTTGCCGGGAGAAATCACTCCTTCTGAAGTGGGCCTGTTACAGTGGACACGAACAATGCCCGAGCATTAGATTTGGGTTCGTGACAATCAACACCCTGACATGCATTCAGGTAATGGCTTGTGGCCAATCGCCGAGATGACGGGAATGCGCCAAGAAACAGAGAGTCAGGAGCAGATGAGAGCATGTGGAAATGTCAGAACGCCGAGCTCTGGTTCAAATGTTTAGTGGGTAGACCTAAAGCTAGCCTTCGTCACCGCTGCACTCATTGAATGCGTTCGAATGCAAAAGCCAGACGCAAGATACCAGTGTTCTACGTTCTAGCGCATTCGACGAGTGCAGTGGAGACAAAGACAGCTTTAGGTCTACCCACTAATCATACCAACCAGAGCTCTGTAATCTGAAGTCCACAGGCGCTCTCCTCTCTTTCTCTCTTTGTTTCTCGGCATATAGCCTAACATGAACAATCTGTGGAACTCAGGAGGAGGAGAATAACTTTATTAAAAGCCAAAAACTATGGCTTTGTGAAAAGGAGCGCTTGCTCCGCCAGGGCCCATTGGAGGTCCGCCGAGTCCGAGCTGAGCCAAGCATTCCAGGAGGGAGGGGATGGGTACGGGAAGTAGGGAGAGTTGAGCGCAGTGATACAGGCGTAGAGTATGTGCTCTGTGTCAGCCCTGACCTCGGGGCAGTTGGGACAGTGAGCTGTCCCCTGCCACCTGAAGTTGTAGAGCATTAGCGGGGTGAGGAGAGTGTTGGTTTGTACTTTGCGGAGAATGTGTGCTTGTTCGGTGTTAAGTGAGGGGTGTGGTTTGGGAAGGGTGGTACGGTTTTCCCTAATGTTTTAGTAGTGTTCAGCTATTTCCTTTTTGTAAGTTGCGGCGTCGTCTGCTGACGTTGGGTTTGGCCAGAGGATCGAGGGAGCCCGGAAGTTGATCTCGCGGGCGAGTTGATGTGCCAGCTCATTACCCTCAATACCCGCGTCGCCAGGTATCCAGCGCAGGGTGACTCTGATGTTGTTGTTGCGGGTGTAGGCGTCCATTAGGATATCATGTAAATGTGGTTCCAATAACCTGTGTTGCATGTTGCGAAGTGCTTGGGCTGAGTCGGTGTAGAGGTTAATGTTGGCGTTATTGTGTTCAGTGAGCAGAGAAGCTTCGTGTATGGCATATATAATCGCGTACGTTTCCAGCGTGGTGATGTTTGGGGGGTTGTCAAAGGGTCCTTCCATGTGTGTGATGGGTGCTGTCTTTCCAGGTGTTTAGATTGCCCAGGCGAATGATCCAGTGTGGGAATGTGTTGCGTCCGTGTATATTGTTATACATGTTTCGTCTCTGCAGTGTTTAGCAGCTTGTGCTTGACATCGCCCTTCATGGAGGTGTCGCGTCATATATTTGGGTATGTTGGGAAATGCGATGTTACGGGGGAGGGGAAGGCCTTGGCTGATTGATGTAAGCCAGATAGGGGTGATTCCTGATCTTCGGAGGATGTTGCGTCTTTGCACCGTATGGGAGAGGCGCGCTCTCTGCCTATCTCTGTGCTGCTGTGTCAGTTCGGCAAGGCTGTGAAAGAGGCCCGTGTCTACAATTTTTCGGGTTTGTGTTTGTGTGAGGTTGAGGTATGGTGCAGTGTAGAGGAGCTTGCTGTGTACGAGTGCAGTGACGAGTTGCTTCGCCTGTTCTTCTCCGAGTCCGTGTTTTTTGTTGATGATGCGTCTGATTAGGTGCGTGGCTACGAAAAACATTAGCAGTACCCGCTTGTTCTGGCTGCGAGATAAGGTGTGAACGCTGCTCACTTTGCTCAAATTCTTTCTGCGACTGCCATTAAGCGAAGAAAGGGGAATTGTAGTAGATCGTTTCCGCAGCCCGCTAAGCACCTGGATAGCGCTCCGTAAACCGCCACAAGACCTTAAACTATGCAGACAAGGCTGGCGGCGCGCATGCGCAGCTGCGGCGTTTTCTTCACTGATACCGTAGCGGAGGAGAAAAACGGTCTACTACAATTCTCTAAAAACTAACGTGCGTTTCATAGGTTACGGATGTCAAAGAATAAATCTAAGCGCTATTTACCGTGTACAAATATTGCTGCATCGCCCCTTTAATCCGGCCCTGCACAATAATCGTTCAAAACGTTTGGCGATTACAAACACGGCTGAAGAGGTACCCTACTTCCGTGGCATTCTCGCGTATTATTCGCGACAGCTTCCTTCACCCCATTGTTTCGGTTTCTCGCCATTGCCGCGAATGAGTCATAGGACCGCTAGACGAACTGACCGTGAACTAAGTCAAATAATGCCTATTACGCATCAACTAGAAACAAACAAACTGAGTATGTGATAAAGGTGCATTGGCGAAATTACGTAGGAACAATGCCGTGGCGCTAAATACACAACCGAGGGATGGCGTGACGCTAATATCACGGCCGAGGGATACGGAACAACTTTCACGAGCCAAGCAAGACGACAGAGATGCGGGACAACATACCAGTGAGGTCCCGACAGAACGGTTGGGTCGTCACGAAGAATCCGACGCGGAATGAAGAAAGTCACAAGAGAACTATGCTCGACATGACGTGCGACGTACACAAACCGCGGGATGGCACCAATGGCACTACGAACGCTACGAACGTCACATCAACACAACATGCAGCCGCTACGAAAAAGCAAATATCAATGGGCGTCCTACCCACAGTCCTACCTTCGCTTGTTGAATCTAATCAGTTGCCGTTGCCCCGTCAGTACAGCATCCTCTAGCTCGCAGCACAAGATTACTAATGTCGCGAACCTGCCCAGGTTCGCGTTCGACGTTTCGACAGTTTCGACCTTTCAAAGTGATGTTCGACAAAGGTTTCGACTGAAGTGCGCATGCGCCAGTTGACTTCACCTGCCGGAGGAAAAGTGCAATAGACCTTTTCGGCACCTCGCCCACGACCGCCTAGTAGGTGTATTCGGTATGGGCGACGAAAAAATATCAGAATGTTTCAACCTGCAAATAGTAAAAAAATAGAGGGGAGGCAAAACGTGAGTGTGTGACGGTTACGTTTATGTCGTAAATGCCTTGTACTGGCGTGGCGACGGCCAGCGACGGCAACACAATGTTTACGCCAAGGAGGATAGAACCACAGTGGATAGAACTTCTAACCTCTTTGGGCGGGGACCCTTTTGCATCAGGGCGGTCGCTCCAAAAGGAACGTCGCAGGTGCGTTAAAAAAACAAAAAAAAAACAATTGTTGTTATGACGTAAATACATTGAACTTACGCTAGGTGACGCGAACTACCGCCCGTTACAAAAGGTGCGGCTCTCTACCTCGTTTGCGGCTCTGCAGAGTTGAGAGCGGCTCTGTTCAACATCCATCCATCCATACGGTCAAGGGTCACGGGTCACGCGGCGCGCGGTTAAAGCAGTTGTTAAAGGTTGAAGTGAGGTGGTGAGGTCAGTGAGCTGGTGAGGTTGTTAAGGTCGCGCGCAGTCGGTACCACGTGGTCAGTACAGTCGTGTCACGGTCAACCACGTTAAGCGGGTTTCACATGCAGCGATTTTGGCCCTAGAGCGGCGCGATTTCTGCCGTCGCGGCGCTCGTGCCGCAGAATTGCTGGTGCTGGCCAGAGCGCCGCGGCGGCAGAAATCGCGCCGCTCTAGGGCCAAAACCGCTGCATGTGAACTAGGCTTTAGGTCGTCAGCTGTCCTAAAGTAGAGCTTCCGTCGCTGCCGACTCTGCTGACCGCGGCAACCATAACGGCCATCACGACCATGAGGTGAAGCTGGCACTCACTCGCCACATTTTCAAAGGTTGCGAACTCGACGTATTGGTAAGAGGACGTTTGGGCATACTGTCGTTTGAGAATGGACCGTTTTAGAAAGTCGCCGGTTCAGGAGGTTCTGGTGCGAAAATACGTGAACATAGGGCGCCCTATGGTTTGAATACCAGTGGCTTTGCTGCGTTTCCAAAGGTGTTAAGCCTATGATTAGAGTGCAATTAAATGCAAAAGTGCAAGCGAGCTGGACAAGGATGACGAAAATAATCCCTGGAGAAGGGGAACTAAGAGTGACAAAGGACAAACACAAATCTCCAAATACAGCTAGGTGACCGGTGCGCGACCGAAAAAATCCGCCTGGTCCGGGTATCGAACCCGGGACCTCTCATTACAGGTGGAGCGCTCTACCAACTGAGCCACCCAGGGGTTAGATGTCAGTAGAGCAAACGGGTTTTATCAGCTGCCACCAGTTTAATTCCAACAAGGGTGAAGCTTGCAATTTGAGGTTATGATTAGAATGCAATTAAATGCAAAGGTGCAAGCGAGCAGGACAAGGATGACGAAGCCTTTTTCTTTTAATTTTTCTTCAGGTAGGCTTGCTCTTTGCAAATTTTATAGAAAAAATGCACCACCTATGGCCAACGCTGTACAAAATCAGAACGTGATAGGTTAAGAAACCGAATTTTGTGGTCGATTTAAAGTGCCTGGCCGCTTCTTGAATCGCCCAGTAGTTTTCACGAGACGTCGCTTCCCTTAGCCTATTCCTGCTCGCCGACTGCCATTACCAGGTACCACTCATCTCTATGTCTATTTGCTGGATCGCGTTTGACCAGCTCCGCCTATGGACGGGAATGCGGCCACGGTCGGCCATTTTTTTTGGTAGAGTTATATTATCTCTAGCCATCATAGGTAATATGGCGGACAGGCCTATGACGGCAGATTGCCATAAACTAGCCGTAGATCTAATACACTGTACCGTGGGTGATATTTCGTGCTTCATTAAAGTTGTTTGACGAAGCAGATTCTTCAAACCCGGGGTGAACAATAGACTCATCTTTGAGGACCCGGCGAAAGTTCTACGAAAGCGCAGCAAGCGAGCTGCGCTGCTTTTCCCCTAAAGCAGCGCAGCTTGCATCGAAAACAGGCTCCATACCGGCGTCTGCTTTCGATGCGACTTTTGATGCGTCGGTGCTGCGATTTCGTGAAACTTTCATAGAGTCCTCAAAGATGGGGCTACCATTCACGCCGGGTTTCAAAAATATGTTTTGTCAAACCATTTCAATTAAGCACAAAATATCACCCACGCCTTTTTGATGGCAGCCTGCCACCACAACTACCACAATGCTGTCTGCCATGGATGGATGATAGTGCCTGCAGCAGCTTACTTTGGCTAAAGGTAATATAACTCTACCAAAAAGATGGCCGCCAGTGGCCGCATTCACGGAGCGGGCAAACGCGATCCAGCAATTGTCATAGAGATCAGTGTCAGGTACTGAGAAGCAGACGCCGCCGTCGCACTTTCGGTGCTCGACTATGACAGAGCCGTAGAGAGTTTGGCCATTCGTTGGGAAGTATAGGAGACAAATGAGGAGGCGCCATTGGCCAAGAGCAGGCTGGGAGTGCTCTGGGGTGTGTTCAGAAATTCAAACGTGACCAACCCGAAGCCGGAAATAATACCCTGGCGGTGGTCGCGAGAAACAAACCTGATAAGTGCATCGGAGTAACTCTCGGTGACTGAAAATATGGTACACGTGATGTTTCAATCACGCTCATCCAAAATGATGGTGAAGAGAGCGACTAGTGGAACAATCGACATAATCCTTGCGCCGAGGGCCGGGAATCTGCCGTCCGAGCAAAACAGAGTTAAGCGGGCATTCGTTTTTTGCATCTTTCTGCATGATCATGATCGAAACATCACGTGTACCCTATTTTCAAACAGAAAGAGTTACTACACTTCACTCTTGTGTGCCCATTAAAACCATATACGAACATATACCTCTGATCAGGGCTGTTTCTCGCTACCACCGCTAAGGGATTTTTTTCGGCTTCTGGTTGGTCAAGCGAGCATGCCAAGCCCTTTTTCTGAGTCTTGTGCACGCCCTGGCTCTGCCCGCACCTCCCATTGACCAAACTCTCTGTATACACGGCTCTGGACTATCACATCGGTAGGGTGTGTGTTTCGTTATTTTGTTTGTTGCTTTCTTTCTTTATTTAACTCATCAGTCTTGTCCAGCTCGCTTGCACCTTTGCATTTAAATGCTTTATAATTATTCCCTTAAATTGCAAGCTTCACCCTTGTTGGTGTTGACTGGTGGCAGCTGATAAAACCCATTTGCTCTACTGACTTCTTACCCCAGGTTAGCTCAGTTAGTAGAGTGCTCCACTGGAAATGGAGAGGTCCTTACTTCCATACCTGGACCAAGGGGATTTTTCCCATTGTGCACCAGTCACCTAGTTGTCCTTTGTCCCTCTTGTTCTTCTTTTCCTGGGATTATTTTTATTATTCTTTTCCAGCTCATTTACACCTTTGCATTTAATTGCATTATAATCATAACCTTAAAATGCAAGCTTCGCCCTTGTTAGTGTTAGACTGGTGGCAGCTGATAAAACCCATTTGCTCTACTGACGTCTTACCCCAGGTTAGCTCAGTTGGTAGAGCGCTCCAGTGGAAATGCAGAGGTCCCGGGTTCGATACCCAAATCAGGCGGATTTTTTCGGTCGCTCACCAGTAACCTAGCTCCGTTTGGAGATTTGTCCTTTGTCCCTCTTGTTCCCCTTCTCCAGGGATTATTTTCGTCATAATTAGGTCACTGTGATCAGGCGTTACGCCAGTGCCTCTTAACCCCTTAACTGGGACTTTTTTGACGAAAAATATTTGTTAAATAGGGAGTTTTTTTTCTTTATTTTTTTTCTAGCTTTTGAAGGTACAACAATAATCTCAAAGCCTAAAACAAATATATATCAAGTTGGATGTTACTGCAATCCGAAATGGATCCTTCACCATGCCAGCGTCTTGCCAGGATGCAGCAGACCTTGAAGTTGACAATGTTGCCATAAACAATCGTTCCGCTGTGTCATCTTCAATTTCCGTGTCAAATCCCGAGGAGCATTCACTTGAACTTGAGAAATCAACATCGCAGTTGGAGTCCTTGTGAGTATTTTACAGCAGCTCAGAGATTTCTTCGTTGGTCAATGGACGCCGGCGTTTGCTGAATGCCATTTTCCAAACAAACAGTCAAAGGTGTCATGCAGGAGTCTTCAATCTTTTTTCGTGCTGCCAAGTATGCATCGTTTTTAAAACAAAGTGTTTCGGATGCACAAGGATAGATGGCGCATCCTCCCCACATGCTAAAACGAGCGAGCGTTTAAAGACTCGCTTTCCAGCAGGGAAGAAAGTGCTGCGCATCTATAGACGTGCCCCCCAAGCTGCAATCAAAGATGACGCGTGTCTAAAGACGCGCTCCCCAGTTAAGGGGTTAAACAAAGAGCGAAAGAAAGTTTGTTACAGCATCCACACGCATGACTACAACACCAAGTTCCTATCTGAAATGCAGGATCACCGAACTGAACATTTAACTTGAAAGATTAATAAAAGGCATTATGCAAACCGGCAAGGCTCGCGAAGGGTGGACGTTGTTCACCGCGTTTGTAGCCTAGACGTTGGGCAAGCACCCAGTTGGGGTTCGTATCTTCTAAGAGAGACGAAACTTCGCCTGTACAATAAATGACGTGCCTGTACTTGAGGCGTTACGAGTCTCGGCATCTGAGCTGTAAAAACTTGCCGCTGCCGAAGCACTATCAACACAAGTAGGCTGCGAACACCACAGAGATAAGGAAGCTCGGTGACAAAGGTAAAAGCGAAGAGATGCGGCTGTCTTTAATTTAATAGGTGCCTCAGTCCCTGCAACGTGACACTACCAGGCACGGTAAAGCTGCCTTAGCCGCTCTGGCAAAGCACACAGAGCAAGAATGGGATGTTCTAGCAATCTATGTTTTACGGATGAGACATGCATTTCTTACCGGTAATGAAGCAACGACTACAAATGTGTTTGTTGTTGAGGTTCTTCAAATCCTTCCGAAGTATAC